CATATCGCACGTCGATACCAGTACCGCTCCTCCTCCACGTGCGTTTTTTGGTTTCCCTTGGAGGCCCTCTCCCAGGGGCCGTGCCTTTCTCCTCCGCACATCGCCAAACACACGATAAACAACGCGCACGCATCTCTATCCGCACTATGTACGGCTGGCGTCGTGATTCCTTGGTTCCCGGATCGCCGAATGGCTTCTCTATAACTCTTTCTTTATTCCTTCTTTTTCTTTCTTTCTATTTATCGAGTTGTGCACCCCCCTGCCCCCTCTCTGCTACATCATTACTGCAGTGTGTGCTCAGCCTTCTATGGATAGCGTTCCCGCACACTTTCATTTCCTATTCACGCCAGTTATTATTTTGATGCGAGCGCCATATTTTTATTTTTCCTCTTTTTTCTTCGTTTCCAAGGAAAGAAAGATGATTGCGCTTTGTCTCCTCCGACGCCACCGCTCTCGCTGGCCGCCCATTACCTCTTTTCACTTTCTTTTTCCGCCTATCCGTTGTCCGCAAACAGATCGAGTTGGAGTGTGTGCCCGTGACACGCAAGCTCAGCCCGAATGAGTACTATGCAAGTGCATGTGTCAATAACTTTTCAGGCCTGGCCTTTCGCGTGTACTTGCTTGAGTATATGTGTTAACACATTATTAAAATGCATGCACACGGACAGACAGGCACAATGTACAGACTATAGTTACGTTACTAATAACGCACGTCCTCATTCGATGCTCAAATAGGTGGCCTTTTCCTTTCTTTTCTTTTTATTCTATCATCTATATTTACAATTTGTCTTTTTTCTCTCTCTCTCTCTTCTTATTTGTACTTTCAATCATCAATCCCCTTTCCCACGCAGAGTTAACAAGTCAGCGAATTTTACATGCCGGCTAAATTCTCTGCATTTCAATAAAGAGTTCTCTCTCTCTCTCTAGTTACAAGCACTGGTTGTCCGTACATTTCTTTTTTTCTGTATGATGTGGTAGCACATCAGCAAATGTCAACATGCCACCAACCAGATCCTTCCGAGGAGTGAAAAGGGGGTGGGGGCAAAATTAAAATGGTCGGTCGGAGGTGGTGGTGTGGGGGCTTCGCAATTACTTGAAAAAGAAAAATGCTTTCCTGATATGGTTAAGTACTCAGCAAGTGCCCCCCCCCCTCCTCTTCGGAGAAAAATCCTAGTTACTAGCCCTAGCAGTACTGACCTCTCGCAACATTTTTTACCCTACCATTTGCAACTGTCTGAGTGAATATGTGTCATGAATATTCCATTCCTTAGCGACATTTTATAATGTATTATAGTTTCCTCTGCTGTAGTAGCTGTTGCAAACGTAATACATTATTATTATTATTATTATTATTATTATTATTATTATTATTATTATTATTATTATTATTATTATTATTATTATTATTATTATTGTAGCACACATGCCGCATGATGTATGCACTACAAACAGGGTGGCATATTGGATCAATAACACTGCTAATAACAAATCACAAAAAGCAAACATTGCAAATGAAAGTATGAAAAATTCTAATGCAATATCACATATTGTTATAATGCAATAAAAGTTAGTCAGACTTGCCATTGATATGAATAATTATAAATAAACAAGAAATGATACAATAATACTAATGTTTGAGGTGACATATTCAAGCAAAGACTAAAATAACATCAGGAATGTTTGATATTATTTATAGCAATTTTATTTTTTGTGGGGGAAGTTGCATTTACGTCTTTGAGTGTTCACATATTGAAAGTGTCAATTGTATAGAAATGGGAGACGTTTACTACACAGTCATAATTTTGCGTCCAACTAACGTTTCTGTGGCCTATATCCTTACACTAATGTTCTGTGTGAAAGTTATATAGTGGAAGTAATACACACATTTAGTTGTATTTTCTTTCTGAGTTTGTGCTATTTGTTCCAGTCACTTAAAAGCAATTCTTGGCTGAGAGGCGTAATTTTCATGCTCAGTAGACTCAATAGCAGTACTCAAAAGATGTGAAGTTTTCTTGTTTTTATCTCTTGCTGCATACATTTCCTAAGGTGCTGCGAGAACTTCTGTCCCTACACTCATTGTTTTTGTGCCAGAACATAAGGTTTTGTCATCTGCATGCGGGGACCAGCAACTGTAATTGCAGAAGCTAGAGTGAACTCGTGCTGCTCGAGCAGAGCCGTGGCACGGTTTATGCGCTGCGGGAAATGCGAGACAGGGTGGTGCTGTAGACCACGCATTAGGGCTGTAATCATTCACAAAGAATACGGAGCTGCTCGCAAACTGGTTCCTCGACAGCCCCGCTCACGTACACTCGCCAGACAGGTCTGTCATCGGGCCCTGATGCCCTTTGACGAATGGAGTGGGCTATTATAGAGGTTGTAGGATGGTGCTGGGGACAGCTGTTGGGAAACGCACACTGGCTGAGCATGACAGCCAGGCTCAAATGTAGGTTTCAAGATGAGCAATGTCTGCTTTGGTATGGCCGTTGACAATGACGATTGGTTGGTTGGTTGGTCAGATGCTTACGACTAGTAATAATTTTTTCTTAGGGTGTAACGGAGTTACTATACTCAGTTACAACCTAGGAAAAAATTAGGTTTGACCTAAAGAATTACAGCGCACCTGCTATTTCCTGTAGCTGGTTTCCGTTCGGACCGTGAGTACTTTTTCTCGGCTAATGTAGATGCTAGACGTATTAAAAGCTAAAAATTAGTTATTACTACCTTAAACATTGTGTTTAGTTTAGCAGCAATGTAACAATCCCTGAGAAAATTTACCAGGATGTCCAAGTTTCAGACCTAAAACGAATGACAGAAATGTGGGTCTTTATGGGAAAGTTGATTATCTGAAACAATAAAGATGCTCTTGTTTCATGAAAAGGTAGTATGTGATGTTCAACAAAGCCCTTATGCACATTCTCTGCGGGAAAGACAGCAAGGGTTGTGTGCATAGCTGACATTTCTCCTAGGTTGTAAATGAGTTCAATAAATGTGTGCGCGTACCTGCGAGCGTTCTAAGGACACTATGACATCCATGAAGAAGGATGCTAAGAATTGGTCGCATGCTGTATCTTTGTGCTGTACGCATAGACTTCAAAGAGACGGTGGTTCAGGACATTCAGAGAACTACCCTTGATTACTGCTTGCCCCTTGATAACACGAATAAAGTTTACATGAAAAAAACGAACTTTCTGTATGGCTAATGTGAATGAAGTCTATACAAAAAAAAATGTGCAGCTTTCTGTGTGAATGAGACGTTTCATGTTAATAAGGAATGTCCCAAGCAAGTGTGCTATTTTTGCTTTGTGCTTGTATTAATCAGTCAAATGTTTGATTTATGAATTCTGGCTGCCCTAATGCTGCAGCATTTGTGGAGCATATTTGAAATGATCCCTTTCAGTCATTTCTAACGTACTACCATTAATACTAACTTGCAAAGTCTTCAGCGTGCACCAATTACACACCACCATGACTTTCTTTCAAAGAGAAAGAGCCAGGCAAATGGCAGGTGACAGTAAATAATTATAGGGGGTGTTGTTCTCAGGTGGGCTCTGCTAACACTATTCTAAACTATAGGCATGAAGTTGACTACACTCAAACCTTGATATAATGAACCTAGATACAATGAAGCATTGGATATGACGAAGTAAATGAGGAATAGCCTTGAATAGATATAGTGTCAAGAATATAAATCTAAAGCAAAGCGTTGTATATAACAAACTTATTTTCATGTGAAATACAACTACATTATAATGAGGTCTGAGTGTATTATAATGTTAATAATAACTAAATACTAAGAACGTAAGCGGTACTTCAGCAGCTTTTCCAGAAGTTTGGTAACAGTTAGTTTTCTCCATGCAAAAGGCTGCACAGTTTTATCGAGTTCTTCGTACGTTAACTAGGACATACGGCAATATAATTGTGCGCTGCACTGTGACCTCAACTGGGCGCTAAGTGTGGCAGCCTTCAAACTCTGGGAAAATGACGCACTACCTTCATTTCCTCTGCGTCTACTCTTAATTTGTGCAAAGCACAGGAAGTGCGTGGGAGGTTTTGCAGTTGAAAGGATTCTTCCCGTCTAGAAGGCTTATGACTGCACTGCCAGTGGTTTGGTTTGTCCGCCGAACTCTCAGTCGTGATTGAATTATAGCCTGCAGTAGCATTAGATGTTGTTCCTTTGCGAGTGTTGAAGCCTGTGATATAACCGAAAATTGTAGTGCTGGAGGTAGTTTTATGCTTAACTTTGGCATAGTATGAAAAGTTCTCTTATTTGCTTCATGTTACGGTTGTCAAACACTTTACTGGAAAAAGTGGCTATGAAAACACTCAGTGTATTGACTTCGTGTTTATGTACTAATTTGCAAAGAATAGGCAAGAAAATGCTGCAGGAATACACTCGCAAAAAAACAGGCATGGCTGATTTTCACATGGCTGATTTTTTAGTACTATGCCACATCATGCTGGAATTTAGTTGCTCATATTTTATACTCGAGTGATGGCTAGAAGTAAGGTGTGGTTTAACATTCATTAGTGATTAAAGGTAAAATTATGATGTCTATTTAACTTTAGCTCCTTTATGCAGTTTAGTTCACAAATTTATGGAAAGATAAGATGGAAGAGATATAGCGGTAGCTTGTCTCTTTCTCTCGCTGTTTTGAATGGTTGTGATAAATTGAGCCAGTAAACTGCAAAGTTTAATTTTACATCAGGTTAGACTCACTCTTATAAATTACAGTTAACAAGATACAAATAAAACTGCTAAATATTTATGGCCAACAGCATGCACCCTCCTACACCTGAGGGCAAATTGAACATCAAGTATTAACTAAGTACTAAAAGTATGCTGATGGGCATCTATGTATATGTAAGTAGATATACTTTGTCTTAACCACTTTGCTTTCATGTAGAAACCCATCTTTATCACCTTGCTTATGGTGCAGCATCAGTTAGATAAGGAAGCATTTTTCATGTTGATAGAATGAGAAGATTCTGTGTCTTTGCAGAGAAGCAGAAATGAAGTTCTGGAACCAGCTGTACCTGCTACTATGGAAAAACTTTGTAATACATCGACGGCAGAAGGTAGAGTCAATAACCTCGCATGCTCGCTTTCTTTCTGTGCATCTATACGGCGTGAGGCATCATTCATTGCGTCCGCTGCCGCGAGAGATGTGGACTTGTGTAACTGGAGTGCTTTCTTTTTTCCAGGTGCGGGTGTGTATTGAAATAGTATGGCCGCTCATCCTTTTCTTCATTCTCATGTGGGTCCGCACACGAGGACTGCGCCTTTACATTCACGAGTGTAAGTGGCCCACCTTCGTTCTTATCTTTTGAAGCAGCGTCTAACCGCTTGCACAAGTTCTTTGTCTCATTTACTTTTTTTAATCTCTTTTCGCTATTCTTGGCAGCTGCAGAGAGGTTGCTGTTATATATCCAATTTTTTACTTGCAGTATTGTTCTTACTGTGATGTAAAATATACACAAGCTTTACAAGCTTTTTTTTTACTGCTATTTGAGTGCCTCCACATGGGCATTGTGCTTGTTATGGTTTGATACTCGGACTGTTTTGCTGTTTTTGAAGCTACTAGAGCTGTTTATAGAAAAGAAGGAGACTTTTAGGTGCTTGTGTTTTTTTTTTGTTACACAATAATAATAAACACTAACAGACAGTCTGTTCTCAGTAATATAAAGCTGCTTATAGCAACATCACAAAAAGATTGTTGCATTGTAGCCCCAACACCAGTTAATCTTGGATGAACATTAAACTGAAATTCGGAAATACTACAATGGTGTTGCTTCCAGTTGTGCTTGTATCAAGTTTTTTGCTATCCAATGCTATTGTCTTTATAACCTTGTTTCATTCTTATGAGTCATATATACTGTGTCAAGAAAGAAATTCAAGAAGTTTCAGCCTCATGAGACTGTGCCCTAGTACTACAGCGGTTACTGATGGCTGTCTTGCGGCATCCTTGGAAATGACATATTTGTCTCGAAATGGCAAAATTGTTGCGGGCATTTGTGAGTTGATTCTGCTTTAATTGGCGTAAAGAGAAAGTCATTCCAACTCACTTTTTGTCATGCATGGTTAGTTATAGTGTTGAGCGCCCGCTGCCTAGCTAGCTTGGACACCAGGAAGTGCTGCATGCCAAGGCAAAGCCAAATGAGTCTCTTTGTTCGTTTTAAGTGAGGAAAAAGAGGACTCACAGAAAAATGAAAGGGAAAGCCTAGGTATACTTCCTTGTGTGAGGCATGGTTACCCTGCACAGCGTGAGGTCCATCATGCGTATCAAATTGATCACGTGGTGGAGGTTTTTGTGCAATTGTTATGCAGATGCGATGTTCTGTTGCACTGTTACAGAAGTGGAAGCCGTGTCGTTTCGCCGTTTGTAAAGCTGTGCATAAGCTGTTATAGTAGCATGATGGTGCACAGTGTGGGAATATCAGAGAGGCTGGCGCCTGGCAGTCTTGCCATTTAATATGTTTATATTTATGCAGTTCAGTTACAATGCTTTTGAATGCCTTTCCTCCTGGATGTGCAGAGAACATTGTTGTTTTCACATTTGCTGCGTGTCACTTATTACATCACATATTATTCTCTACCTCAGCTCTATGTTAGCTGACCAGGCATGCCCTTGTTAGCTTCCTTTCTTTTTATTTATTTCTGTAATTTGATTGACAAGTTTTACTAGTTATTATTTATCAAAATCAGTTTAGTTATACTTTATTAAAGTTTTTCAGATAGAAAGCTTGTAGTTTCAGTGATGCTCCTTTTGCACACCAACATGTTCTGTGCTTGAGTAGCATAATTATTGCACAGCATGTAATGCTATTCAACTGATGCTGAATGCTGCATGTTCTTCTCCTGAACCAACAATGTACTGATGATTAGTTTTACGTAAGATAATCATAACAAAATAGCCAGAAGGCGTCTTGGCATGATGTTTTATCATATACAAATGTAAATTGCCCTTGTAATAGATGGCGTGCACCATACATTGTGAGTGCAATTCTTCATAGTTTAGAGTTGCTGAACCCCTTTTGCTTTCACTTTTAACTCGATCATTCATTACCAATGTTCATCATTAAGTGAACGACCTTGACTAAAAGACATTCTGTCAATGCTTTAACTTATTCTAGGCATCTTTAGTCTGCTTTGCCGTTACCCATGTTCAGCATCGCAAGCTCAGTTGACTCAACTGTAAGCTCAAGGACATTAACTCACTGAAGTGTTGCGTAGTTGACCATAAGCCACTCAGCAAGAAGGTAAACATTGCCTTGAAGCATGGTGTGTGATGCCACTTTGCTTTTACCTTCACTGTCTCCTCCAGGCCATTTCGATGCCAAGGCCATGCCTTCTGCCGGCCTGCTGCCATTTGTCCAGTCGACTGTGTGCACTCTCAACAACACCTGCCACAGAGAGCCGGCCACTCAGAGCAGTGCCGAGCAGCAGTACAACACGTCGCTGTGAGTGAAAAGCGTTTGCTTCTGCTTGATTGTCTTTTATGATTTTTTTTCATGCTCCAAGTGGAGTTCACCCTCTGCTTTACTTACTTTTTTGGGCTCTTGTGATGGGGGGGGGGGGGGGGGGCTGCCCTTTTTTCATATGGGCCTAGCGTCTTTTTTATTGGCCTTTCTTATAGACTTTCTTTCATGACCTTTCCCATAGGTTTAGTGCTGTTTATGGGGTCTGTTGAGAAATGAATTAATGAAGTAATGGTGCAGCGAGCCACAGATCTCATGCATGTGTAGTTCAGAAATGAATCGTTCACATATAACTGCATAATATAGCCTGACTACAGCCGAGGCTGTGTAATTGCTTTATTGATCTGATTGGTACCGCCACAAAAAATGGTCCTGATGCTGTCCCACTAGACAGCATCTCTGCCATTTGTTGGCAGTGAGCATGATGCTGGGGACATTACCAGAGTACAAAGTGTCAGCGAAACATTCTAAAGATTTTGCATGAAAACGAACGAAATTTCAGCTCTTGTGTAGGGTAACGGTCCAGTTGTCAGGAATACATCACTGTGTTGTTCCTTGGATTATTCTTGGCTGATCCTTGGCAGTTCTCTGAATGACATAAAAACCTTGCTGGAAAGGTTCTTGGTTAGTCAAACATCTGGCCACTAGCAGGAGCTGATACAGTTCTTCTTTGTCTTTCGCAGAATTATACGACTGGTCAGCGATGTGAATCACATCGTGAATGAACATTTAGCAAATGAAGACACAGTGAACAGCATCAAACGGTTATCCCGTGACTTGGAAACGCTCTCATCATTTGTAAAGAAACTAACAGCTGCCCAGTTTCCAATGTCCGGTGAGTGACTCAGGAACTTATTTTCCTGTAAAAGCCTTGCAGGTTTGCGCATGCTTGAACCCAGATTTTCACTGCTGGCTGCAAGACAGCCAGACTTGCTTATATACTTATATTAATGAATGTACATTAAAAAACTCCATGTTGTAAAAGTTAGTACTATAACACTCTTCACCACAGTTTCTCCCTTGGCCCCACAGTTACTTTTGTTAACAATTCATATAGTTGCATGAGCTTAGGCTGAGCATAAGTTCTGCTGCAATCCAGTCACCCTACTGCAGATCTTCTATATATAAATATTGAGCCTTTTTTCATTCAATTCCTTCTCAGCTTCTGACTGTCAAGAGCTTTGATGTATGGCAGTGCAACTTGTCTTTGGGTGCTACTGTGATTTAGTTGGGTATATTAATGGGTGCAGGAGTGGATACGAAAGTGACTCTTAAAAAGGGAAAAGAAGAGAAAAGTGAGCCCCGTTATTGTCTGCTTCAGTGAGCGACACCGCCACAGTAGCTCACAAGGGATGGGGGTGAGGAGGGATAAAAAAGGATAGGAGTAAAGATGTAGAAAAGCCGAAGAAGGAGAAGAGAAGAAGAGACGTGAGGTGGTGAGCCAGAGCGAGCGACGACAAGATGAGGGGATAGAAGAGATAGGAAAGATGAAGCACGGTCACTAGAGTCCGAGGACGGGGCGCACCTGCGAGAGCTCCTTTCGGCGTCGGTGGATGGCGTAGAGCAAGTCCAGTAAGTCAGAGCTGCACTGTCGTCAGAGGTGGAAGGTCGTCGGCGGCAGGAGGTGACGTAGGGCGAGGCCAGTCGGCCAGAGCCACGCTGACGCCCGAGGTCGCAAGCGCGCGGAGCGCGCGAGCGCACGACCGGTCGACCCGAAATCCAGCAAGCGAGAGAGGAGTGGATACCAGCCTTAGGGCTATGATTGGTGGCAGGTATTGTGGCCCATCAAGTTTTGGCAAAGGTGGTACATATTTCAAATTCCTGTAAATGCAGATGTGGAAACAATGCCTTTGTCTTGTTGTGAGGGGGATGATGAAAGTCTTATATGATAATTTAGTAATTTTATGCTGTAAACTACAGCATAAACTAGTTTGCCTGTACTACACTAGTTTGCCTGTAAACTACAGGTAGTCAAAATTAACCTGGAATACTCCGCTGTTGTTCTTTCTATATAGACCCAGTCTTGCATTGCAAAATGAGATTCGATATGATTAACTGTAGATACTCTAATATGCTACGGTTCTCCTACAGGAAGGGTTTCCATTGAGAATGTCTTGAAGAATGACGATAGCACAAGACAGGGTTTTGAAAATCTAAACATCTCCAACAAAGAATTTTATCCTGCCTTCTTCAAGTCGAGCGTGAGCGTGCGGGCGCTTCAAAAGGTGAGGGCTCACTTGTGTCTGCGTTGATGTTTGCTGGTTGTAGCACTATGTTTAGTCATTTGCTTTGGCAGGATTCTTGTTGCATTAGTGCTCAGAGAAAAATATACCTATTTTTGATGAAATGCTGAAATCCTGCCCTCAATTTGTGTGATTGGTCACCATGCATAGAATCACCATGCACGGTTTTATGGTGATTATGAGGTTTTTTCAAACCTCATGGTGATTATGAGGTTTGAAAAAATCGAGAGGGGGAGGGGCAGAAGATAACAACTAATAGAAAAAAAAAACATGGGTGTGAGAGAGATTGGTTTAAAATTTATATGCAAAATGATATTTCACGCCGCAAGTGTTTCAAAATGAGAGCGATGAAAGATTTAGGGTTGGTCATTTGACATCTACAAAGCATATTCTAAAGCACGTCAGGCGAGCTAACATTCAAGGGGTGAGCCAGAAACAAAATTAAAGCATTGCATTGTTTTGAATGATAATGCTGGTGCGCTCACTGTCCCAGCTTTGTTTGTTGGCTAGCTTTTATTTGTAGAAGGAAAGCGGTTTGAGTGTTGTGACAATCCTACCAGGGTGTACTCCGACTAATATTTGTGTTGTAATGCGGGCACACTTACTACTGTACTAATACCAGCTTTGTGTCAACATTGAATAGATCGCCACACGCATCTCTAATTTTCAGCTGGGGGGTGTTAAGCATCATGGCAGCTTTAAATCTGAGTAGCCCTACTGAGATTACATAGTTTGGTAAATGTGGTACACCTTGTGTGAGTGGTGTATATCATGGAATTTCTTAGAATTAACTAGAGAAGACTCTGACGCTGCGATCGTTCAGCGAATATGGGCATGATGGGTAGTACACGGATTTGCCTAGTCTTCATGCTTGTGGCTTTTAATGCACTTGTGGCTTTGTTTATTGCTCTATTTTGGTTTTGTTTTAAAGAAAAGAATGGACCATTGTGAACATTGTGACCCAATTTAATTAGCGAGCCTAAAAGGTTAAGGCAACTGCTAAACATTTGCTGATTGTTGTCTCGTGACAAAGCAGCTCCCAGCCACGCGAAGCCTCTCCGGAGCCGTAAGAACGAAGATTAGACAAATTTGTGCACTACCTATCATTCCCACGCTGGCTGAAGTGCCGTGTGTTGTAGCTCCCACAGACACTAGCACCAGAGTTCCCTCTAGTGTATAATATGTAAAAAATCCCCGGTGTATATGTTATGCACTGTGCATGGTGCACCACAGTGCAAACATCTTTAGAATCAATTAAAGAACTGGCTTCTCCTTCCTCCTCCTTTCTCACTCACCACATTTTTTGTTATGTGAACACACATGGTTTCTATGCTAGTTGCTTGTAAACTAAACCACCTCTTTTTTTTTTTGCCAGATATTTGACAGAGGCAACGAGGACATTAGAGGCTACTTCTGCAAGCCAGGTGCTCCCCAGGTGCTCTTTGTGGCTGGCGTCCCGGAAGACAGTGATGAGCACAGTCGCCTGCAGCGTGATATTTGCAAACTGCCTGCTGCCGACGGTCGTGCTTTTTCACAACAAGTTTTGAGAAGTCTGAACTGGACCGCTGTGCTTCACGAGGTGGGTCCTTGGAAATATCAAAATGTCTATATGCCAAGACTTATGTTTGTCTGTTACTTTTAGATGGCCGTAGGCAAATTAATTAGAAAGCTTACAGAATCTGTTTGTAGAATAAAACTGAAAATACAGCTATTATACAGGTAAGCTTTAGTTCATAGATTAACTTATTGTCTCTACAGTAAGCTTTTAAGATGTACCAACAGTGTTTACATGTCATTGTACTCAGTGTATGGTTAATTACATTTAGAAACGTGAACTGTATGTAATGCACTCCTGACGAAATGTGAAAGAATGCTTGTGTTTTATAAGCCATGTATTATGAAAAGCTGAGCGATACGCATAAATCTTGAGTTTCCCACTGTTACATGCCTTTCAATCAGATCATTGCTGGGGCACTTACTCACCAGAATGTAATTAAATAATTAAATGATCTGTGTGGGAATTGGGGTTTGAAAAACTTTTAATAAAGACAATGTTTTTCTCTAGAAGGCAGTCTAATTTTCAGGCCAGTAATTTTTTTTCCACCAATCAAACTCTGTAAATGTCAAGAAACACCGACATTGTTGCAGTTAGCTCTGGCTTGGTATTCACTCCTAGAATATCTTTAATATGTATTCAATTTCTTGTTTTTTTTAATTCTACATCAGGTTTCATCCGTCATGAAGGAGAGTGGCCACAACTTCAGCACAGCTGACTGGGTGACTGCTTTTCAAGCTGCTCGGGACGCTCGCAATGAGGTACATATTGCTTCTCCCCTCTGTCCTCGTACTTGTTTATTTGTTGCTGCTGGCAACATTTGCAGCTAAAAGGAACAATTCAAACATGTACCTCACGAAGAATTCAGAACACAGTGCTCCGATTTCACTAGTCGTATCACCATAAGTTGCACTGCTCGAGTTTTCAAAAGTTTTCAGATGCGAAGCATCTTATAGTGATGGCACGTCCCACGTTGTCGTCGGCGGCCGTAGTCGCACTGCACATGCGCTACTCTCCTCCTTTCCTCTCTCCAACAGTTGCACATTACTCTCTCCACTTCTACCACCTGCTTGTGTTTAAGTTGAATCCAAGAGACCTACAGTAAAATGATTTGGTTTGGAGCAATTTAAACTAGTGGGCATGCTTTTGATCCACAACTATTGAGGCTTCTGTCAGCTACTAATTGACCTGTTTTTTGTTTGCAATATCGTTATAAGGAGATTATGAAGGCCTTGTGACAGGAATTTGTAGAAACACATCTGCTTGCCATAATTGGGAATTATATAATTGTATGACTCTTTCAGTTGTGGGCACTGGCCAGTTTTCAAGAGCTGCTGAAGGGATTCACTGAGAGGATCGATCAACTGTCTGAAATCTTTACCTTGAGTCGATCCCGACGCAACGGCACGTTCGCGTGGGTGATTCAGGTGTCGCTGTGCGGTCGCAACATGTCCTCTCTCCTGGACACCGAGCATGGCCCGGCCCAGCGCTTTGAGGAGTTCCGGGAACAGGTCAACAGAAACCTGCAAGAACAGAGTGATGAGGCTGTAGTCTCAGAATACGTCTATGACAACACTACTAGTGAGTATTTATCTGTGAAGGAACAGATAACCTGAACAAGTTGGTGCTTTCCTGATTCCGCATTTACTCTCGTAATCCTCACACTCACATAATTCTCACACCTCCCCACAGTGTCGAGCAAAAATGATTTTTTTCCTCACGAGTAAATGTCACAGCTCTGAAAATTGCAGCAGTACTGTCATTCGCTCCTTCCAACCTTTGAACCACTGATGATGATAGCACATGGCAGCCTGGCGCCATCTCTTAAGGATCATGCATACTATTAAAGCACGGAGCCCCGATCTAATATAAGCCAAGTAAAAGTGGGAAGTGCTCATTGCGATGTGTTATATAGAGGAAGAAGGGTGTACTTTGTGTCCATTCTGTAGTTACGCTATTAGGCGATCTGGGAATCTCGATTTGCGGCCGGGTCATTTTCTTTTTTGCTCTGTACATTTTCGGGAAAAACTTGCCCCACATAACTCTTGCACCCCTCAACTTGGGACAGTTTTCCACGAAAAAAAAGTGCGAGCATTCTGCTAGTAAATGCGAGTGCATTCCTAATGACACTCAAATATGTAAAGTGTATCTTTCTAATATCTTTGTGTAACAATATAAATAAATAAATAAATAAATAAATAAATAAACAAACCAATCTGTCGATCAATCAGTCAATCAGATTTAGTAATTCTAGATAAGAAAATGTGCAATAAGAATATGAGATAAGAACTAATGGCCAGAAAGCAAGCTGCTGGCTCAGGACAAACTGCATCAGAAAGTAGTCCACAGGAACGAAATCAATACCTATATAAATACTCCCATCTTTTGCATTCACCAAGGAAACACCTCTCTATTCTGTACTTGGATTTCTGCTGTCTGTTGAATTGATTACTTTGTTTCAAAAGCTGAGGACAACAGCTTGGTGCTCTTTGTTTTCACAGGCCCTCGCTGCAATGCCGTATTCCGGAGCTTCGAACACAACAGGTTGATGAGGTTTCTATGGGGCCAGGTCAAACCTTACGTTCGAGGCAAGATTCTGTTTGCCCCCAACAATGCAGCGACCCGGAGAATCGTTAGCAAGGTCTGTGATTCTTTACATAGCCACTGTAGTTGTCTGCCACCTCTGGTGTCTGCAATCACTAATGCACTGAATAATAAAAAGAAATATCCTGGAACCAGTGGGATTTAACTCGGGCTCTGTTGAGTTTTCTACCACAGAATCACACCAGTGCTTGAAACTCCTTCGCAAAAAAGGCCCTATACAGGTTTTTGGGATATGGCGTGGAGTAGCCATGGAGGGTCTCGATCCCGCAGAAGTATAGTTAAAAATAGGCTTCTATTAAGAATTGCTGAATCCATTAAGACCCTGCTGACACGCTGCTGACCTCGTTTTCTCTGTCCTGGTGATAATGATGATGATGCCTCCATTATAGCTTTTGCTCGCTCAGGGGGATTGGCCGAGAATTGATTATATGAATTTTCAGGGCTTACAAGTTATGCATAATTCTAAAAAAAGTAGAATAGAGCGTACTTAGAAACGGAAAGAGTGCTTGCTTGTACTTATTCTTCATTCTGTGGTCCGCCAGCGCTCGTGGTGGAATTAACACAGGTGTTAAGGTGTTATGTTGGGTGAGGAATCACACTAACAGATGTAATGTAGTGTGGTAGAAGATTGCACATTTTGGATTGTGCAACATGTGCGGTTTAGATCATACTTACCATTACAAAAGGCTCAACACCATTTCTTCATTGTCATCAGCCACAGTATCACTGAAGGGCACGTGAACGCCTTACGCATTTGTAATGGGTACCTCACTTCTCTAAAGAGAGAGGAGAACAGGGATAAAAGAAAAGCAGAGAGGTTAACGAGGGGGCAGAGTACCTATAGGCTACTCCAAAGAATGATGAATAATGGCATAGTGGGTACTTTTTCTACTTCACAGGACATTGATATTTATTGTGTAGTGGGTACCTATCAAGTACACTTGCAGTTGTCACCTCAAGGGCCTTTACAAATGGCTCAAGAAGGGCTGCTTCTCCAGCTTTTGTTGTGACTGTGCTGTGTATTTCATGCATGCCTGGTATTTTTTGTCAAATGCTGCTCGTTGGACACTTTCTGCTTTCTAAAGGCCACTAGCATAACAGTAGGCCTCTGGGCAGCAGTTTGTGCTACTAGGTCCTACGTTAAATGGAAACCTGAGGGTAGTTGGGAGAGATGAAGATATGCAAGTTTTCGGCAACGTCTTGTTTCTCTGAATGTGAAGTGTATGGTGCTCAGCGACTGAAACACGATACTTTGCACTCGTGGCGGCCTGTGATATAGAGTCACCACTTAACGTTGGGTGACTGTAGGGGCACAATTGCATTCGTAATACATCACACAAGTCGTTGCTTTAATCGTATGCCTTGATTCATCAGCTTGGTGTTTCCAACATTTGCCAGTGGTGCATTAAGCATTAGCATTTATATGAGCTCAGTATGAAGTTTCAGTCGTTGAGCATTGTTGTTCAAACTCTGTCACATCTTTCCCATTTTTTTTCTCGGGTCAAACCAAGCAAGCAAAAATACCTGCATTTCTCTGCACGATGAAAATGCAGAACTTTTATTTTTACATTCCTGCAAAATCTGAGTGAGAGAAAAGCTGCAGTAAATGGGAAAACGTATCACTATCTATACATTCAAAAATTCTGTTCTTCATATTCAAAGCCACAACTCAACCTGAAGCCTTGACTTGAACTACAGATGTCATTGTAAGACTTCCTGTTTATGCGTCGAAAGATACATAAACAATGCCAACGTTCATGTCAATTGTTATCTTATTTGACTTGATAATGTAATGCTTCAAGTAGATGGGCATTTCTCAGTAAAATATAATTCCTCTTGTTGGAAACAAGAGAATTCGAGCTTGACAAAGGTCAGTAAGCTGGCAGAACAGGCATGCTGCAAATATGGTCGTATTTTTTGCTGTTTGGCTGGTCTAATAAGCATGTGGTAACTAGCCTTTGGACTGCTCTTACAGGTAAATGAAACTTTTGAGCCACTGAACAGACTGAAGAAGTTGGCCCTGCGCTGGACCACGGACATTGCACCTAAGCTTGTGCATTGGCTTAGTAACAACTCTGCAAAGCTGGAACAGGTCAAGGTCAGTGATATATTTGATTTCTTAGCATATCAATTTATTGACCGTAATAACTGCATTGCTGCTCAGAAGGGCTGATTTTACTGCTTTGTCATTTGAACTGCTTCTATTGTGCATTATAACTCTGGGCACAGTACAGATGTAAAGAAAACGAGAAGCAGCGTGAACTGCAGCACAAAGATAGACTTATTTTGTGGTTCATGCTGTTTTTTTGTTTTTTTTTTTTGAACATGTACCAACCGGCCCAAATTAGCACTCTAGCACAGTTCATTTCGCAAAGCCTTTTCAACTCTCAGGTTAAATTCAACTTGCCACATTGTCTCAGTACTCATAACACCTTGATCTTAAATGTGAAGTTGCGAGTTCAGTGCGCAGCCATAGTACCAGGGTTAGTGTATTTAGATATAAATGTATTTCTAGTTAGTTATAAACGATACCCACCCACTTTCTCACAAGCAATATCTTGTAGCCAGTCTGTTTCACGGAACCTGATCTACAGATCAACCTCACTGCACAGTGATTGTGGAATGACTCATCAGTTACAGGGTGATTCTGTGCACAAAGCCCCTGGACAGCTGCAAGCATGCATGAAATCTGTATTCACCAAGTGTACTAAAACCTGTGTGTTCAACATTGCTTTAGCCAACAATTTCCTCTGATCAATCAATCAATCAATTTTATTTCATCTACTCTCTTCATTAATTTGTATAGCTGAACATGTGCTTTATAACTGACTATAACTGACCTGTACCTTGTTTTATGTCTCCTTCACACGAACCTCGTAGAAACTGTCCACATCTGAAGGCCTGGAGGCATTCTTCATTGCTGGTGAAAAGACTGGAGCCAAGGCAACTGCAGAGGAAGCTCCCGAGGCTGCTCGAGCTCAGAGTGTGCTCGAGTGGCTTCTGTCCGACTGGGACGGCCGAATTGAGAGAATCAACAAGGTGGCGCAAGAAACATATCACGTTTTTGAGGTGAGTCAACCAATACTCAAGAGACTGTTCGTGGCCCCTGTCTGTTACACTTCTGTGCTTTGTTCCGAGCAAGACTATCCTTAATGAAAAGTTTCACGAGGGGAAGTAGAAGGGGAAGGAGACGTGGCTTTCCCCTGTCTGCTTAGTTTGTGCCTCAAGCGCTGTAACATGATTAGCTCTTGATTACTGGTGACATTGTAGAACTAAGAGGGTGTTTATGCTGCTTTGTCTCAATATGCAACACATCACACATGTACAAGCTGATGAGGTTGCAGTTGCTTTTTCTTAATGTCTGCTTAGTTTATGCCTCAAGCACTGTAACATGATTAGCTCTTGATTACTGGTGGCATTGTAGAACTAAGAGAGTGTTTACGCTGCTTTGTCTCAATATGCAACACATCACACATGTACAAGCTGGTGAGGTTGCAGTTGCTTTTTCTTAATGCATTACAAAATGTGTTTGTTCAATGCAGAATGCACTGTAATTGCTCTGTCTGCCCAAAACTTCATGGCTGAAGCCACATCAAGTAGTCAAGGACAGCAGAAGGCTAGATTAGATGATGAGATAAATTAAATTGCGTATTTAAGTTAGATTTGGCTGATATGGGATGGCTGAAGAAAGAAATGGTATGTAGTAGTCATGTTTTGTTGAGTACCGTAATTACTCGATTCTAACGCGCACCTTTTTTCCGGTTAAGCGAGTTCATAAATCGCATGCACGTTAAAATCGAGTGCGAAAAAAAAAAAATGAATGCGGTCATTCTTTTGCCACCGGCATTTCCAAAATGGCCGCCCCCTACGTGCTTTGGCATGGCGCGTTGGCCATTTCCGCCTATGTGTTTCCCAAGTGCGGCACTTCGTACGTGTGCTGAGGAGTTCGTCATCTTGTAGTTCATTAGCATCGACGACATGGAAGGGCCGACTCCGAAAACTCGACGAGTACACCACGATGCCGCTTTTAAAAGAAAAGTCATCGCGCGTGCCGAAACAGACGAAAATCGGGCCGCATCGCGGTCGTTCGGAGTTCCCAAAACGTGCGTGTGGGACTGGCGGAAACAAAAGCAGAAGATTGTCAGATTCACGCAAAGGCTTCAGTGGACCACAGCAGGGTCGGTTTCCGCAAATTGAAAAGCTGCTCGCCGAGTATGTGCTTGAGCAGCGAGCGGCACAGCAGCCCGTGACGACAGAACTGCTCTAAGTGAGGGCTATGTAGTTAGCTTTAGAAAAAGAGCTAACGCGGAGCCAGTTCAAAGCGAGCAGGTGCTGGCTAACTAACTTTATGAAGAGGACAGGCTTTTCCCTCCGAAAGCGAACGGGCATGCGCCAAAACTTGCCGGAGGAGTACGAAGAAAAGCTTCACAGTTTTCAGAGGTTCGTCCTAAACTTGCGACACAACAACGGCTACCTGCTTGGGCAAATCGGGAATGCTGATCAGACGCCTCTTTACTTCGACATGCCTGGCACCACAACCGTCGAAAAGAAGGGGGCGAAGCAAGTTCGCATGCTGACAACGGGCCATGGTAAAACAAGAGTGACGGCAGTGCTCCGTTGCACGTCAGATAGGCAGAAGCTTCCCCCGTACCTCATATTTAAACGGAAGACGCTCCCGAAAGGAGTCGTTTTCCCGAGTAGCGTGATCGTGCGGGCCAACGAGAAAAATGGGTGCGCGTTGCAATCGATGTCTTACTTTTTTTTTTTTAGTCGTGAAAACCGAGTGCGTGTTACAATCGAGGGCGCGGTAGAATCGAGTAAATACGGTAACATCTTTTTTTTCTCCGTATAACTTCAGTGCTTCGAGATGAACCGGTTCGAAGGCTACCCTTCTGAGGAGGCACTGATGCCACGCGGTCTGCAACTGATGCGAGAAAACAAGCTTTGGGCGGCACTGGTGTTTAGTGGAATGAAGAGCTCCCAGGACAGTGAGGCGCTGCCGCCGTTCATCCGCTACAAGATCCGCATGGACGCCCGCAAAGTGGACTCAACGAAAAAGATCGAGGACAGGTATCGTTTTTTATGTGGTCCAGTCAGTCACCTAGCTGTCTCACGACTCCCTTTATAGAATTTTATATTTATTCCGTTAATTTTCGTTTGTAAGATGAGACGTCAAACTGGTGCCTTAGATACAAGAATAATGTCTCATATAATATTCAACGATTGTGTTTTAGCTGCTTTTATCTATCCCACATGTTGTATGAACATTAAGACAAGCAGCCTTGTGGCCAGAAAGTTTCCTTAATGTAAATTTGTTGTATCCTTCTTTAATAGTACATTTTTTGTATGGTTGTCATAACTTCTATTGTTTTAACTACAATGTCTGGTCGGTGATGAGCTATTTTAAGGCCTTGGCATGTTAGCAGATGGTGACAAAGAAAAATGCAACAAACTTGACAGCTGACTCAGATACAACCATTGTTTCTTTCTTTCTGAATGCATTGCAGTGTTTTTCATGTTTCGTTTAAATGCATGACGTCGAGTACTACATCTACAGTCTAGCCTGTGTGTTTCACTCAGAACAGAGGATCTTGCACTCATGAATGGGCAAGCTGAGCGAGAGAATGGTTGAAACTACATAGGCTTTCCTGCTAAAGTTTCTAGAGGTAGCTGTGGCCCCCTGATCATTCATTTTTGCATGAATATGATAAATAGTATAGAAATTTTTCTAATAGCAGTGATGGTAGCTTAATGGTAATGGTGTTACAAAGCGCAAGGATACAGGTACGATCACCAACCCCGACTTCATTTTTTCTAACTTCGAAACACTCAAAGTAATGAATTTGTGCTCATTTGCCTGGTTATTGCAAATAGTCTTTATGTACTATAACACAATGACCTGTTGAGACTCGGCGGTTTTCAATGTTGGAAAGCTGTTCGAAGCCAGATACGTGAAGTTCAGGAGAATTCACATGCTTCTCTTGTTATTGCTATGCAAGCTAGGGTACCAGTAATGCATTTCTTCCTTACATTGACACTATGCTTTTGTTGCAAGGCGAACATGTGATTGAAAACACTGGAAAATACAATGACATCGGGAAAGGCCAAGCATTGTGTGCGTATGCTTCTCTACTGTGCATGCACAAGTGAGGCTGATGCCGCCTGGTGTTGCTGCTTTGTCTGGTGATTTTGTCTCTCATGTTTCGTAATCCTCTCCGGATTCACAGGCCACTGCTTGGTGAAGAACGGAATTTTGAATGCTGATAGCACGTTTAGCCGTTGTAGTCATTGTGACTTCATATATTGATCTGCAAGTTGCCTCACCTTTATTGTCATTTTTTTCTGGCAGAATTTTTCGACCAGGCCCACGCCGTCGCCCTACCATTGACCTCAAGTACCTGACTTTTGGCTTTGCCTACCTGCAAGACCTTGTGGAACACTCCATCATTGCACTTCAGACGGGATGGGAGAAGACGACGGGGGTCTACCTGCAGCAGTTTCCGTACCCATGCTACATTTTTGATCAGTGGGTTGGCTTGTCACTCATAAAATCTGTCTTGAAGAGGGGAAGAAACTTTTAACCACAGAGCTGCTTAAAGTTGATGTTTACCATCCTCTGGGCCGTCCTTGGGATTGTCGTCTTTAGAATCGTAAATCCTTGGGATCGTCGTCCATACTTTCTAGTCCGGCTTTGAGAGTGAAGCTTGATGAGAAGGAAAGCATGGGTAAGGCTAAGTGGGTGAGAGGAAAGCCTAGTGTAGCGTGTTGAGTGCGGTAGAGGAAGGGTAGCAATGTGGAGAGGGCTAAACTGGATAGAGATGAAGGGAAGGAAGGCAAATGCGGAGCAGTTTGTTCGGAGAGATAGAGCCAGCAGGAACATGATTGGCTGTGCCAGTGAAATGGCTCGACCAATTGCAGCTCTCTCGAGCAAAGGTAACGCTGGCAAAAGACGGGGATGGGCACGCTGATGCAACCAGCTTCACTGACACCTTTATGACATAAGTCACTTGAAGCTCTGTATAATTCTTATTATGCTTGTAGTTTGTCAGTTCACCATCCACTTTTGTTGCAGTCATACTGGCTTTTCTAAAACATTGTATACTGACTTTTGAAGTGTTTTGTTTGAGAATAAGACAAAACTTACCATCATAATTGCATTCACACAATAATGATAATCAGCACTGTTGTTTTTTAAGGTTTGAAAGTTCAAACTGTCCACACGTACAACAAATGTTTGTGACTTTATCTAATCGATTCTCTTGCAATGCAGGTTCATAGTGACGATAGCGGAGTCATTCCCAATGTTCATGGTACTCTCATGGGTGTACTCGTTCGCGATGCTGATCAAGAGCATTGTGCGAGAAAAGGAGCTGCGCCTCAAAGAAGTCATGCGCGTCATGGGCCTGGGAAGCGGGGTCCTCTGGCTCTCCTGGTTCATCGACGCGTTCGGCTTCATGCTCATCTCTTCACTTCTCCTCACCTGCATCCTCAAGGTATGTTGTTCTTGCAATGTCTCTTGACGGGCCATTCATCGGGCTTCATTGTAAATTTTGGTCATGCACTGTGAGTTGTAAGGTGCCACATAAAGAGCTCATCACCTAACGAGTTTTTCAAATGAGTTCATTATTAGGATTAACATAAACTGTTTTGCTACCATGCTGCCGTGAGAAAAGAGCCATTATCAACAGAAACTAATCCCCTTAGCCTCGGCTAGCGTTTGCAAACCATGGGCCTTCCCTTGAATCCGCATGTGCTCGTGTCCAGAGAGAGAGAGTGCCAAGTTCAAGCGACAAGTCCACCTTCCTTTTTTTTCCCTATTTTTCAGTTTCGCTTGGCAGTGCATTTCTCTTACAGTGAGCTTTAAAGGCACCATCAATGTCTAGCACTTACAGCACCCAAGCCTGCGGCAGCAAAAAGAATGTTGGCTAACTTTGAACATCTTTGTGTTTTGCAGTTTGGTCAGGTACTGGATCACTCGGATCCGGTGGTGATCTTCGTGTTCCTGGCCTGCTTCGGGGCATCCATCGTGTGCAAGGCTTTCCTGGTGGCCGCTCTCTTCTCGCGAGCCAACATTGCGGCCGCAGCGGGGGGAATCCTCTTCTTCACCTGCTACCTGCCCTATCCGTTTGTCAAGCTCTGGAAGGACCGCCTCAGCTTTCACCACAAGAGCGCTGTTGTGAGTTGTTGCCAATTTCGGTATCTACGACCGAAGAATCGTCGTTGCTCGGACTTTCGTTCACTGTCACTTTCATTTTGTTGGTCCACCTCGACAGATCAGTGGCCAGGGTGCTCGGCTGCTTACCCGAAGGTCGCAGGTTCGATCGCAGCCGCGGTGGTTGCATTTAGCTGGAGGCGAAGTGGTAGAGGCCTGTGGACTGTGCGATGGCGGTGCACGTTAAAGAACACCAGGTGGTCGAAATTTCTGAAGCCCTCCACTATGTTGTGCCTCATAATTACCGTATATCGTTTGTTTGTTTGTTGTTTGTTTATTAATACTGTCAACCCCAGCTGGGGTTTTTACAGGAGTGGAAAACAAATGAAAGAAATGGTCATGAAATACGTTACAAAATAGAGACATACAGCGAACACAGGTATTTACACTAAAAGACAAAGTTAAACACAGGCATGTGCACTTGCATTCTGCGCATAGAAAACAACAATTAACAAAGCGAGAGGCAATATACATTGACATCATGAATTATGACGCATCCATTTCGGAGAAAATAAGCGATTCTAAAGCTCGTGGTTTTGGGATGCTAACCATATGTATTATTATTATTGCTACTTTCATATTTTTGCATAATAGCACACTCATTCGAGTCTAAAAATATTATATAACTGTGAAAGATATTTAATTACCTGTTTTGGTCATTTTCACTAGTATGCACACCTTTTCGCACTATCACTTTGTCGAGATCATTTTCCATGGCTATTAGTGTACATGTAAATAAACTACTGTAAAAGAAATCGTTTTGTCAACATGTTGTGCAGATAACCGACTGATTGCAAACTTTGACAGTCCTCCAGTCCTGGGAAAAATGACCGAAATACCAAACCATGTGAATGCCCAATGTTATACAAAGCAAGAAGAAAAAGAAATAATGATAATTTTGTACCACTTCAACACATTATAACTTATTTATGCAACGTTTGTGCAATTGGCAACCAGTTGCTCTCTTTTTTTCTAATATGATGGGCTTTCATGAGCTCTCTGGAAACTGCATTCCACTTCTACCCAGAATTCGAATACTAATAGTAGTAGCACAGCAAAGAATAGCACTTATTAGAAAGGTAGTTACAATCTCTATCTGTTTTGATCATCCGTACTTGATGATTGCTGGCCCCGCCGCGGGGGTCTAGTGGTCAAAGTACTCGGCTGCTAACCCGCATGTCACTGTGGCGGCTGTATTTTCGATGGAGGCGGAAATGCTGTAGGCTCGTGTGCTCAGATTTGGGTGCACGTTAAAAAATCCCAGGTGGTCAAAATTTCTGGAGCTTTCAACCACGGCGTCTCTCATAATCATATGGTGGTTTTGGGGCGTTAAACCCCACGTATCAATCATTTGGGGATTGCTGTAGACTGTAATGTGCAGTGTGCTTGCACATGCTGACGCGGCTATGTATATAGGGTATGTAGCGAAACTTTTCTCAATAAAAATTATTTGCGAGTAGCGCATATGCTGTGCTTCTGAACGTTCTTTCTCAATGTTGTGTCTAATCCACGCTATTCAGCATTTAAGAGAATATATGAGTGTTAATTTTACTGATGGCTTGCATGTGCTGCTTGCGTCTCGCAGAGCTTGGTGCCCAACGTGGCCTTTGGCCTGGGCTGCAGCTACTTTGCCCACCTCGAGGAGGAGGGTGTCGGCGTGCACTGGCACAACCTGCTCCGGGGAGGTCTTCCCCCAGACACCTTCTCCATCGCCCACGTCATGGGCCTGCTGCTCCTCGATGCCGTGCTCTACTTTGCCCTTGCGTGGTACATCGAGGCTGTCTTTCCTGGTGCGCATTGCAACGAAGACGCAAGTTAAATGTTCTTAGACCATTCACTGAACTAGAAAGTAGGCTTGTGTGATTAGTGAATTTTAGGTTCGAAGCGAATAGTGATATTGGTCAAATAATTCCATATCTAATTCGAATGGTATGTATATCGAATTCTATAAAGAAAAATGAGCACATATGTCATGACACAGCTAACTTCAAAATTTTCAATAACTTAAATTCAATCCGAAGCAAATTAAAATACCGCATTATTTTTTTTAATATTCGGAGCATGCGAATATTTTCTCAAGCTTGCCAGAAAGAAAACATTCTCAATCAAAATTAACAAAAAGACACATGGGAATACATAGCCTGCGGACCCCAGTAAATATCCACTCACTGTAGTTGGGACCTTTTTGTGAAACACTGAACAGTGGTTTTCTTCATTATTCTTTAGATGTGAAAAAGCTTTAACCAGTATTATTATCATGATTTATTATGGTAGCACACTCCAATGCAGTTTTCATTTTATTGAATGCTAGAGGCCCCAAGAAACTGGTACAATAGTTGAGGATTAATTATAGTAAGTTTGCTGGCTGCAGTGTTGCTCCTATTATAGTAGGTCAGCACCATCTGAAAATTGCTTAAAGAAGTTCTGTGTTTGGCTCTCTTGTTTTGTTCAATTAACTGCACCACTTGATCATGTGTGAAGCATGTTAGTGGTAAAACAAGGCAGCCTAACAGAGAACTTTTTGCCGAACAACAACAACAACAACAACAACAACAACAACAACAACAACAACAACAACAACAACAACAACAACAACAACAACAACAACAACAACAATAATAATAATAATAATAATAATAATCGTTATGTTACCTCCGTATGACTGGGACTTTGAAGCTATGCTTCCATGAACTTCGTCGCAGCTGTTTCAGTTGTTCCGCGCCTTGAACAAGCCGCCTTAATCTTGGCACTTTGCCATGCTTCTGGTATATAACAGCACAGATCTCGATGGGCAACAAAATCAAGGGCAAGTTGGTTCGCACGGAAGACAAGAAATACTGTTAAAAAGGCTCGACATGAAAAAAACTTGGACATGTTTTTGTCAAAGTTCACGATAATAGCACTGCATTTAAGGAGTTAAACTGAAAGAGACGCTTTATTAGAGCATAGAGAATTCATGTGCAATACATGTAAATGCCTACGTTGTGCTCTCTATAGGGAAGAGGATTGGGAATAAAGGGACCTTAAGCGAAGGAAAGTAAAAGAAAGGAAAGCTTTGCTGAAGCTTCGCGCAAAGATTCTAAAGGGCAGGTTCAGTGCTTGCGCTTACCCAAGTGCGAGCTTGTTGAAATTTTACATTTCGATTTTTTTTATTTACAGGGCAGTACGGAGTACCGAAGCCATGGTACTTCTTCGTAACCAAGTCCTACTGGTGTGGTACTTCACATTGTGATAGTCCAAGAAAGTCGGCGTGGGAGTCTTGCAATGGAATGGCTAGCTTGAGTGGTTAGTTACTTCCTTCGTTTGTTCATTTACAAATTGTACTGGAAGTTAGTGGTGTCAATTAAAAAGTACAGTTAAAGTTTGTTAATTCAGTTTTCATTGGACCAGAAAGAAATTTCTGACTTAGCTGAATGCCAAATTATTGAAAGTATCAAGAAAGAATAAATAAATGTTTGTTACATCAATACACTTTCATTTTTCTGGATAAAGGGGTAAATTCTGTACATAATTTCTATAAGAGCAAGAAAAGTAAGAACCGCAGTTTTTATTATCTTGCAACTTTGTTCAAAATGTGACCATGGCAGAAGGCCCTACGTTTATTTAGCCCGAAGCCTGCTCTGCTCTGCCTTCCTCCGTTGTTACTGCCACCACCAACACGACCGCCCGCATATGATGATAGTTTTTTGTGGGTAAGATTGCCGTCAACTGATCATTTGTCTGTGGCAGTGTAGCTAACGACTTTTTCTCCTTCTTGAAAACCGTGGCGTAAAGATTTTTGTTTTCAGCAGCTTCTGCCACGTTTCAGTGGTGCGACATTGCTCTTGCATTACATCGAGACAAAATGAAGCTGCTGATTGCTAGGTCCTCTTGTGGGGGGAAGCCGTGGCCACTAAGTGATGGAGATAGCCATACAGACCTCACTGCCTCATTTTGTTGGTTCACGAGCGCTGTTTTTGCTCTTCCGTGTCGCACATTTGTAGTGCTTCGTGGATCGAATTAGCAGGGTTGCTGCCAGATATGGCTGAATTAACAAGAGCTTAATGTCATTAAACAATGCATATGCTGGCCAGTACCAGAAAACATGTCCAAATTATCTATTCTTCTGAATTAACGAGAGTTTTATTAACGAAATTTCACTACACTTTTTATTCGCGCACTCACACTGGCTAACCTAATGGCTAACTTCACTTCTGTGCTGGTGTAGTTACATCTTTTGTGTCCCCTGCATTCCTGGGCAACTGAACTCATAAATAATAATCAAGGCTGTAAAAAAAAAAAGAAAGTATAAAAAATTAAGAAATAACCCAGCATGTTTGTTGATTGTCACTTATCAATACTTTATCACTGTCTGCGTGCACATTACAGTACTTTCTACCGTTGGTGCTGTTCGACAGGCAGCAGTTCAGTGAAATTTGTTGCACAATGTAGCACGGCAACGTCTCCCAGGTCTTTGCGACCCTTTTCACAACTATAGAGGCAGGTCATCTTTACAACCCCAATGGTGGTGCTGGGATAATGCAGCTAGTGAATGCAAAATTGCATTATGTCCCCAGTGCAACTCCAATAGTATCCAAAGTATGTGTAAAACTATTATTCACAGGAAAACAGCTTCTATTATAGTAGTTGTGTGGGTATGATACGTATGTGGCAACAAAGCATTCATTTGTAGTTAGCTTACACCTTAAGGATGTACATTCTACAATGCAGTGGATGTACTAAACAATTTTAATGCAAGTTCCTATCAAATGAATACCAAAAATACCTTCACATATTCCATTATTTTCATCACAAATGGCACATACTATACTTAGTTTATCTAGGCATACTGTGCTTTGGGAATGAACAAATGCATAATTGAACCTTTACACATTTCATTGACTGCACGCGCTTATCAGGAAAGACCGAAGACATGGAGGAAGAGCCACGCAATCTGCCGCTTGGAGTGCTCATTCGCAAGTTGACCAAGGTGTACGCTGGCGCAGACCGGGCAGCTGTTAACGAGCTGAGCCTCAACTTCTATGAGGGGCAGATCACTTCGTTCCTTGGCCACAACGGCGCCGGCAAGACGACCACCATGTGAGTGTAATCCCCAACGTCTTAGCACCTTGTTACTGAAAATTTTGGAATCTTGTTATCTCCTCGTGACAGCAGCTGAGGGCTTCAAACTGAGTTTGTGGGTTTTGTTCACTTCTCCCGCCACTCAACCCACCTTAAAAGACTAAGACCACTGTCATTGTCAATGAGACTTTGTGGCAATTTGTGTCATCATCAGGACACCTTGTAACACCTATGCATTGTTGTTATTAATGGAGCGAGAGGAAATATAGGTTTCCCTGACAGCTTCATCGGGTTCGAAACCATGTCTTAGAAACCATGTGGCTTTGGAAACCGAGCATTCTGATCACTGAGCTATCACTGAGCTATATTATTGTGGTCTTGTATGCCATGCAATGCAATACAGAATATTGCAATACAGAATACCATGCAATACAGAATACCATTTCTTTTCAGCTCTATCCTCACAGGCCTATATCCTCCGACACAGGGGACAGCTGAAATTTATGGCAGGGACATCAGAACCGAGATGGACATCATTCGTCTCAGTCTCGGCACCTGTCCCCAGTACAACGTCCTTTTTGACAAGTAATTCCACGTTTATTGCTTTACATAGTTCTCGAGTTGGGCATTACAGAATGCGCTAGAAAGCCCCGCCACGGTGGTCTAGTGGCTAAGGTACTCGGCTGCTGACCCGCAGGTCGCGGGATCAAATCCCGGCTGTGGCGGCTGCATTTCCGATGGAGGCGGAAATGTTGTAGGCCCGTGTACTCAGATTTGGGTGCACGTTAAAGAACCCCAGGTGGTCAAAATTTCCGGAGCCCTCCACTACGGCGTCTCTCATAATCAAATAGTGGTTTTGGGACGTTAAACCCCACAAATCAATCAATCAGAATGCGCTAGAAAGCTGCAACCACTTTATACACTATTTTCTTTTCGACTTATGGGCGCCGCCGTCTTGGACTGATAAGCGCTTGTTTTGTAGATTTTCTATGTCACAATATGGAATGATCGTGGTCGTGAAACGTTAAATGCAAAAGCCATTTCGTGCGTGTAAGTTCATCATAGCACTGTTTGTTTATTTGATACGAGTACTAAAGTGCAACATTATCAGTCCAAGACGGCGGTGCTTGGACGCATTTGGAAAATGGTGTGTACAGCAGAGTAGCAGGCTTTCTATAAACAATGGCATGTATCTACCCGCCACGGTGGTCTAGTGATTACAGTACACGACTGCTGACCCGAAGGTCACAGGTAAGGATCCGAGCCGCGGCGGCCGCATTTTCGGAGGAGCTAAAATGCTCGAAGCCACTGTACTCAGACTTAGGTGCAGGAAACCAAGGTGGCCGAAATTTTGGGAGCCTTCTACTATGACGTCCCTTGTTATCATAGTGTGGTTTTGGGACATGAAACCTCAAAAATTATTATTATTAGCATGTCTGTGCATTGCATACTATAGCAGTGCATGTATTGTTACATGAAGCAACTGCTAGTAGTTGTCCTAAATGCTCGCCAATGAATGTGAAGCTCGTGTGAGTGCACTTTTAGTAGATTGGTATCCTTTCGGTGAAAAAAAAAAAAGTCCTTCAGTTTAACGCGTGAATTACGTCATGATTTTGCCTTTAAGCTTGTGTGGGTCCTACTTGCTCCAAACGCAGCTATTCACAGTGTTCTCCCCTTTAGTTAAGAATCTGCTCTCACTTGTAGTACTTATTGTTTAAAGCTTTGTCTCTATTTATAGATTTGCTATTATCTTACACTGGAGTTAAAACTAGTCCACCTGCAGCATTTTTCTTCTGTGGTTTTTGTTAATAACGAATGGAAGGTCATCAATATATCAGGTAAGCTTCTATCCAAATGCTTCCCTTATTTCCCCTTCCATCACAGTTTGACAGTTGCAGAGCACCTCTGGTTCTACGCTCGGCTCAAAGGCCTCACTGCAGATGTGGTCGCGTCCGAAGTCGAATCATTCGTGCGTGACCTGGCCCTGGTCCACAAGAGGGACGAATACTCGTGCAACCTCTCAGGTAAGTCATTTGAAACCTGTAAAATGAAATACAAAGTAGCTATGCGTGCGACGGCACACATTTGGACTGAAATATTTAAATGGTACAAGCGTGCACATTATAAGGGCCCATTGTCCGTACTGGGAATTTTCTATTAGAAGGCAGCTACGGTGACAGGTGTTTTCCAAGGGGTGGAGGGAATGCCCCCGAAGGAAGTAGTTATAGAGTAATCTTTACGGAACTCCAGGATGTCGGGAAGAGAGGGCACGAGGTACTTTTGAACTTAAGGGGCAGCTGCCTGTACTGCACTGCTTTCTTGGCTACCTCCCCGGTGCTGCCCTTTTTAAGACTGAATACACTCGGACCTCATTATAAAGAAGTTACATATGACATGAAAAGAAGTTTGTTATGTGCGAAAATTTGTCATAAAGGTATATTCCTAGTGCTGTATCTATGCAAGACTAAACTTCATTTACTTCGTTATAACAGATATTTTGTTATATTCGTGTTGCTTATATCGAGGTTTGAGTGTATTGGCTTCTGCACATCCTTATAAAACTTTAAGACAGTTTGGGAATGGCTTGCCGAGAGCAGAACTACACAAAATTATTTAAATGTAGGATCGTTCATCCAGCAATAGACTATGACGTGATGACAATATCTGAAGGAGACTCAAGGTTGGACAAAATTCAAGCTCGTAATTGATTTAAAATGTATACCTAAGGAAGTGCCATGAAGCACCGAGATAAATATGCTTGTGCCTGTTGGTCATTGCCGATTGCTTTTTTTCTTTGTTTCTTTTGTTAGTGGTAGCATAATTGTGTCAGTGGGCACCGGTCATCTTGACCAGTGCTTCCCATAATTTTGCTCGTGTATTTAAAATGTACGTATAAAACAATTTGAAATTTCTTTTACTCTTGTGCTTTTTAAAAACATCTAGGTGGCATGCAGCGCAAGCTCTCTGTTGCGATCGCATTTGTTGGTGGCAGCCGCACAGTAATTCTGGATGAGCCGACGGCGGGCGTGGACCCTTACGCACGCCGAGCAATATGGGATCTCATGCTGAAGTACAAGCAAGGTATAATCATTTGAAATCATTAAACTTTTGAGAAAGTTCTTTTTGTATACCTTCATAGGGAGCACAAGTGTATAGAATAACTAAGCTGAGCTGTTCAAGGCATCAGCACCACACATTGGCAAGATAGCGTTAGAATTGTTTAAATCAAATCATTTTCATATGTTTGTTGCCACACATTGGCAAGATAGAGTTAGAATTGTTTAAATCAAATCATTTTCATATGTTTGTTGCCGTTGGCAGCTAGTGTGATAGCGATATGTTCATTGTATGCATGCCATTTTTTTGCGCATCAGTGTCATATGACTCCGAGCCACATTTGACTCTGCTTTTCAATCTTCGTGGTGGCCAACTAGCATTATTGATTTGCACTGAGAACTGCAGGCTTTTACCACATCGGAAGAAATATTTATATTGCCTAAAGCAATGCTAAATTTTGAAAATTGCATGCCATATTTTTAATATGCAAAAGCCTTTTGGCACTCATCCATAAGATAAGATGCATTAAGTATTAAAAGTTTGTTACCCAGGTATTTACCTGCATACTACTGCAGTTTCTCTTTATGTTTTTGTCGACAGTTATTGCGTGGACATTTTATTGAAGCCTTGGTACTCGTGTCAAGGCTTCGACATTTTTGTAAAGGTTGTGCATTACGAGTGTGCAGCAACGCTTTGTATACGATTCTATTTTGTGTTAGCGTGCAAAAACACACTCCAAAGTCATTCCAGCTGTCATTGAAATTACCACAGTGTTAAAGGTACCTGAAATAATGTGGACTGTGAACTCAATATTCTTCTCCTATATCTTTTTTTTTTATCCATCTCCTAAGTGTCCAATAGGTGCCCTGTCTAGCCAGTGTCACAAAAAGCTTAGCATAAGGATTCATTTTTATAAGTTCAGTGGAAAGCAGTGTGCTCAAATTGATGGAAACTATAAGCAAGGCTCTTCATCTATGGCTTCTCACATCAGCCTTGTGGTTCTGAGTTCAGTCATTAACACTGTGTTCAAAAGTGAGGTTTACTTTTGTGGTGACTTAAAATACATTAGCCAATTGCATTCATTGACAGCAGTTGTCTAGGCACGAAATGTTTAACTAAATCGTACACTATATTTGATAGTGAAACCAGGTTATAAGTCTGACCGTCAGTGAAAGTCTACATGTGGAGGTTGATCTGCTCCAGGTCGCACGGTCATCATGACAACGCATCACATGGACGAGGCCGACCTGCTGGGTGACCGGATAGCGGTCATCAATGAAGGTCGTCTGCGTTGCTGCGGGTCGTCGCTGTTTCTCAAAACACGATTCGGCAGCGGCTACTACCTCACCCTAGTACGCCCGTCACGCCGCAGCAAGTCACTCAAGAACAGGCCGCCTCCCAGGGCGCCTTCTCGCAGGGATGTGGTAAGTGAGTTTTGCATTTTGTGCTACTCATGACCTGCGTCAGTAATAAACAAAAGTTCTGAACTGCTTGACTTAAGTATATTCTATGTAGCTGACGAGCTATGCACTCGTCAGCTGCGGTAGGGACAAACTCATGCAAACGGCCCTTTTCTGCAAACACGCAATGTCATTGTTGCCTGCTATCACTCACATTACGTGCATACCTTATCATTCTTGATCTTTCGTAAGAAATTAACGTTGGGAAAGCCAAAAGCCAGCTAGTAGAGCTCAGGTTCCCCCCCCTCCTGCACGTTGCCTGACCAATTCTGCCGCGCTGCCTTGGATGGTCGCGTCACAATAAAATCGTGCACAGTACTTTTATAATGGACTCTGTATATGTGGGCGCATGAACTGCCTCTGCTATTTACAGACCGCGTTGACCGTTCCATTGATTGGTTCTTTCACTTGGTTCTGTTTCAGGTGAGTCAGACAGATGGAGCCAGCAGTGATTCATCCCAAAATGCTACACCATCATCACTTGTGTCACCATTATCGGGAAACTCTCACGACGAATCTAGTACGAACTTCTCTGCTTTATTTCACCTCATTGTTAGGCCATTTTGATGCTATTGATAGCAGTTCTGTGGTTAGAATTGCTCAAATTTGGCTTACAGCATAAGCGGTGACTGTTTTTTTGTTTAATAAAAAAAAAAAAGTTTGCAGCTTGCTATGTGTAGCATACTTTTCTGAAAGTTCAAACTTGCTTAGAATGGTGACAGCAACTGTGCTGTTGTGATTTTACATGTTGTTGCAGCTATCGCTGTAGGTTTTCTTTAGTGAGTGGGACTTTTTAATTGTTCTTACAAAGAGGTAATTGGAGGATATAAACGTGAAGGATTTTATTGAAAATAAACACAGGTTTCGGGAGCACTCTTGAGTAAACATGAAGAAACATATATATATATATATATATATATATATACATATATATACTGTAAGCTAGAATTGAAAACAAACCCGTAGTGATGTAAATTTTGACAAACTATCATTCAAAACTAGGTGGAAAAGGCATGATTACATTAATTAAGTTTGGAAAAAGTGCATAGCTTGCAAGATGCTAGACATATATATATATATATATATATATATATATATATATATATATATATATATATATATATATATATATATATATATATAAACATATATACATATTGACATAAAGTGGCTGTTGTAGGCAGATGATGGCAAGCATTGGCCATCTTTTGGTTAAAATTTATTCATTTTAAACTTTCCACTTTTTTATACAATGCTGTAAAATAACACATGCATATTGCTATGCCTCTGCTTTACTTTGTAAACTATCTTATTTCAGCAAATTCACCATAATTTTGTACGATCGCTCTTATGTAGGTTTGTGTGAATTGTAATTATTAGGTTCAAAGTGTATAGCGCTTTGCTTTGAATAGTTTTGGATCAAATTCAAATGGTATACATTGCGTATATATCACATAAATTAGCATATTTATCATGACCCAACTAACCTGCGAAATATTTATTTTTAATTGATATAGGGTGTGTGCTAATGTCATTTATTCGGGTTCAAAGAAAGTGGAAGCAACTTTGGATAATAGCAGGATTTGACTTCTTACAGAATGCAAACGATATCCTGTTAAAATATGTTACTTGTTAAAATTTAGTATACTTAGACCATGTAAGTCTACATAAGAAGCTCTTAAACTTAAGAAAGGAAGAATCGATGTGAGGGTAATATGTTCATTTAACCTTGAAGTAGAGCAGTGTGGATTTTTTTTTTTAAAAGCAAGTTCACGGTATAGCATTACATTTATCGCAGTGAAACCACTTTACAGGGGGTTACATGCAAATTAATTGTATACATTTATTTGTTCATTCTGAATGCTTCGAAATTTTCATTAATTTGAATTCTAATCAAAGCGAATTCGAATACGTAACTTTCGTCCAAATATTTGAAGTGCTCGAATATTTGCGAAACCTTACTTTAAGAGATCACAACCGTGGATTTCGAGAGCGTAGTCGTTTGCTGCCACTGTCGCATCTCGAACAATGAGAAAAAGAAACACAGGATTGAGCAGCATCTGAACCCAGGCCCCCTATGTGGCAGTTGGGTATGCAATTACAGAGCCATTCCTGCGCCTCAAATTTCTTCACAAAAAGACAGGCATCATGTTGGGAAAGAAATCATGTTGACACATGTAGTGTAGTGTGGTATGACAGCAGCTGTTACACTAGGTATCCCACATTGGAAATTGTGTAATGAGTGAGTGTTTTAAAGCTTACAACTCATTGCAAAAGACTCGGTCATAATTTTTGTTGTCATCAGTCACAGCCTCAACAAGGTCCACATAATGCCTTATAGACATGTAGTGGGTGCCTGACTTCTCTGCAGAACGATTAATGATGGCATAGGGTGTACTTTCCTACTTCGCCAAATTTTGATGATTTACTGTGTAATGCTTACCCTGCCACTGTGCTTGCCCCTAGGGTGCCTTCAACAGGCTCTAAAAAGGCACGCCTATAGCTTCCTTTGGGATTGTGCTTCACGTTCTTCTCTTGTTGCAACTGTTTCCTTTTGATGTATTCATCGCAGTTTCTTGTTATCTCTAATTTTCTTTCACCATGGTCTGTCTCAGACGAAGCGTTGGACAAACTAATAAGGAGGCACATCCCCAAGGCAGAGCTCGCTACCGACATGGGCGCTGACTTGTCGTACCGGCTACCGGCGAGCCCAGAAACATACTCTTCCTTCGTATTCCTGTGCAAAGATCTCGATGCCAACCTGACAGAACTGGGCATCACCAGTTATGGGATTTCGGACACCACGCTCGAGGAGGTAGGTTGACCTTTTTTTTTGCCTGCAATGTACGTTGGTGCAACCTTCCTCATTTACATCTTATTTTTGGCAATTTGAAAATTTTTAGAAATCTGCATAACTCAAACTTCTGTGTAAGTATATAATGAAATATCGGTTATAACGAAGTTATCGAAAAGTAGTCTTGAAATAGATAGTGTTGGGAATATACCTTTATAAGAAATTTTTGGGTATAACGAGCTTGTTTTTGTGTAAGCTACAACTTTGTTATAATGAGTCTTGAGTGTATTGTGCACTCAATTCAACAACTTTGCAAAGGGTTAGTCTTCTAGTTACTAAATTATATGTTCATAGCTATAGAAAGACTAACATAATGACACAGAGAGGTGATCAGCTATGCCAGATACTTGCTTTCAACAAGGAGCCAAACATATAATGGATTAACCTGTAGGAGGCTTCCATGAACACGAAAATTTGTTAGACCACCAAAACATATTTCTGTTTACCTGAATTTTGTGTATTTTATAATGATTTTTATCATCATATATTTTTCACACTCCTTCATGCCTACTTGAAACGAGACAATGGTAGAGGTGGTGTCATTCCAGCCACATATTTTTTACATTTGATTTTTGTATTTGTTTATTAAGTAAATGACACATTGTATTAAAATTTGAGGGCCCTGCTTCAGTATAGAAGGCTGTTTTTAGCCTATGTGTGGAAATAATTCAGTGCCTGCGGCATTGAAATTCACGAGAAGCATCAACAAAATTTGTTTTTATACTAAATTTTTACGTTGTTTCAACAACTAAATGCAACTACAGTGTGAATACAAGGCAAATTAAATTGAGTTTCAAAATAATTTAGGTAAGCAAATGATTTTTAACGTATGTTCAAGTTGCATCTTTTCTTTTTAAAATGAAGGTTTTCCTACGGGTCACGCAAGGCAGTCCAAACACCAGAAGCCAAGCGAACGGCCAAGGTATGGAGCTTTGCTCTTCAAAACGTGTTTTTTTTTTTTTTTCATCTTTTTGTCGCTCTAGTCGCATTGAACCTCGGGAATTTGCAGCATATTACGTCCACTGCAAGACAAAGGCCTCTCCCATGTTCCGCCAGTTAACCCGGTCCTGTGCTTGCTGCTGCCAATTTATACCCGCAAGCTTCTTAATCTCATCTGCCCACCTAACTTTCCGTCTCTCCCAACCCTCTTGCCTTCTCTGGAAATCCAGTTATTAACCCTTAGTGACCAACAGTCATCCTGTCTACGTGCTACATGCCCAGCCCTTGTCCATTTCCTCTTCTTGATTTCAACTATGATATCCTTAACCCCACTTCTGTTCCCTGATCCACTCTGCTCTCTTCTTGTCTCTCAAAGTTGCACCTACCATTTTCCTTTCTATTGCTCGCTGCGTCGTCCTCAATTTAAGCTGAACCCTCTTTGTAAGTCTCCAGGTCTCTGCTCTGTGGCTAAGTACCGGCAAGGAAAGTGCTATAGAGGGCTGCAAACTTCTGTGACTCCTATCATACTTGACGGATTCCAAAAATTTTTGTGGCAGTTGATTTGTGAGGCAATTACCTTGTTTAATAAAGCCATTAAAAGATTACTCGGAAAGGTGTTGCAGCACCCCTTCAATATTATCTAGGTACTGCATGATTATTCTCTGTTGTTACCTGGACAAGAAAGCCATGTGAGGGGCTTGACAAAAGGTTTAATATTTTCCACTTCCCTCGTATGGTGTACTTGCTTTGATGCCTAATGGGCACTTCAAAAGTATTGGACTTTAAATTATGTTTTCTGTGGCTTTACAACTATGACTTGCGTTCTTACGTGTAATCCAAAGCAAACACATAACTCTGCTATTAGCCTCGAGTGCAGTTAAATAACAAATAGTTGTTGGAATTTCATGCACCAAAACTATGATATAATTACGAAAGATTCTGTAGTGGGGTGCTCTGGAAATTTTGATGACCTCGGTTTCTTTTAACATGCACCTAAATCGTACTACACGAGTGTTTTTTGCATTTCGCCCTCATGAAAATGCAACCGCCATAGCTGGGATTGAACTCGTGCCCTTGAGCTGGGTGCAGTTGTCTACGATGGTCACTTTGTACCAGGTGATATCTACATCCCTGGCCCCGAATCTGTGGACGGACCACCGACGACCAGACTCCAGAAGACTCTGGATGCCTTGCGCATATGGTGCTTGTCCCTGAGAACATCTGCAAAGACTGTCAGACCAGATCTCGAAGATGCAGGTATGTTTGGTCCGCTTTGTTTTGATGCTCTGCCTAGTAATGTGTTGCATTTGTGTGGTGCTTGTGTTCTAGTACTGAAGTGTAAAGTGTAGTAGAATATCAGTAAAACAAACTACCTGTTTTAACAAAAGAGCTGTTTAAAGCTGAGGTAGATCTCTAAGAATGATCGTGCACTCTTTTGAGCTCATATGCGAGAGCAAAGTTTAAGGTAAAAAAGAACATGGCTAAAGCTAGGTGGACTAGAGGGATACTTTGCGTGCCCGAGTTGAGCCTTGGAGAGAAAGGGTAGCAACATGGAGAGGGTGAAGCTGGGTAGAAAGGGGGAAAGCAAAGGAGGTTGGGAGAGGTAGATAGAGCAGGAGCACGATTGGCTGTACCGATGAAAGGAGTTGACCAATGATAGCTTGCGCTCGAGCACAGGTAGTGCTGGTAAGAGAAGAGGAAGGGTGCGCCAAGCATTGGCGAAAGCAAAGGAAACGCCCACTAATGGGGGGGGGGGGGGGCTATCAGCTGCGCTGTTAAATAGAAGCCTTTGCTTCACCAAGTCATTCAAAGCTGCGCATAAATTTATACCTTTCGTTTTTTGCTTGGGCTATGTAAAAAAAGCGCCTCCTTGCAAACCAAATTGTTAGCAAGAATACAGAAAGGCATAATGGGGGGGGGGGGGGGGGGCTATCAGCTGCGCTGTTAAATAGAAGCCTTTGCTTCACCAAGTCATTCAAAGCTGCGCATAAATTTATACCTTTCGTTTTTTGCTTGGGCTATGTAAAAAAAGCGCCTCCCTGCAAACCAAATTGTTAGCAAGAATACAGAAAGGCGGGCTGGTTGGTTTTGCTGCAAACATACTGAAATTTTAGCGCACACACACGAGGACACAAACGAAAGAACCACAAGAACCAGTGCAGTTGATAAGGTTTAGAAAAAAAATGCTTTTTGCCAGGAAAACCCCAAAGGATTTCTTTTTCCGAAGTATAACTAGTATCTAATAGTCTTTTTTAAGCTTTATCATGTGTTTTCAGTGGGCAACGCTATCCTTCAAAAATGGTTCCAAAGACTCGAGCAAGGAAGAATTACCAAATTTTTAATGCGTGGTGTGTTCAGTGGATGACTTAAATGATAAATATGACGTCCTGTGTGATCCATGATTTACTTTTCGATGCTTTACCATCCTGAAAACAATGCTAAAAGGTTGCATGACATACACAATGGCACATGTTTACATCTTCCTTAGTAAACTGGGCTCCTGTTGAGGTAAACATATTTTCCCAGTCTCGTCAGCTTCTAATTAATGAGATTACACTTACAGTGACTATGCATATAGTTTTATAAAAAAATTTCAGAAGTGGGCAATGACTGCTTTGTGATTTGATGCAGTTTTAATGGCGAGGTCTAGTTTCATATCCTGTGCAGGTTGTGAACAACAAAGCTTTAGTAAGTTTTAGGTAGTGTTTATGACTACTTTGTTGCTGCCAGTGAAAAGTTAGTGCAGTGTGATCTAGTTATCTGTATTTTTCGGATAATTATAGTCACTTCAATAATCCTTAAGCATTTTATGTAGCTTTACTACAATAAGATCAAACTCTACACACACCTAGGGGTTATGAAGCCTTGGTCGAACCATATCTTGTTTGTCTAACTATAGTAGATTGTAAGAAAATGTAAATTTAAGGGCACAATATTGATTGAGCGTTTTGACTTTGGGAAGGTTACTCAGAAGTTGATAAAATAGCACATAGGGTTTCGCATTGTTTCATGTGCTTGTTTGTAGTCGTAAATGTAGTGTTGTTTGGTTTTTGGTGTTCGGTTTTTTGTTTGTTTGTTTACTGTTATACATTCTAGTACTGCCTGGAAGGTGGCATGTCATGATTCAACCAGGCTGGCCTCACTTGAGCATACTTGTTCCCTAGTGATGCCAGGCATTAAAATTATATGCTGTTACAGAGATGGTAAGAGTGCATTGTCATTACAGGGTGTGTTATGTATAACACTGGTTTGAGATAAGAACTTTATTGTTCAATAAAAATTTAAATTTTGTGTCAATGTTGTGATGCAACTCGGAACAAGCTCTTCATATTGAGCAAATGAGCTCGGTAAGCAATCACACAAGCTATCACTTCTCGAAAAGCACGGGCTTTGTTTTTGATGAACAAGCACACCTATGAAAATTGGAGGTACTATGCATCGTGCAGTACGATGCGTCGGCGGAGATGATGAAAGGTTAACGACAAAAGATAATGGTTATGTTATTGAAAGAATAGAATATGAGCCTGATAAATTGTTTTCGAAGGAGGTGGCAAAGGCAGTCATGTAGTTTGGTGAGAGGCAAAATAGGCAGCAGTGATAGTGGCGACCGTTTAAAGCAGATCAAGAATACTATTGGCTGCTTTACGTAAAGGGTGTTATTGCACTATGCTGGCGTTGGTGTAAATCCTGTAACAGTGGGGCATCGTAAAGCTTGTTGCTCAACGACTGCATACATTTTCTGATTTGCTGTCCAAAAAGCAGTTGGAAATTATGGGATACGTGTGGATATATGCAGCTTTGATTGAAGACTGACAGCTTACTTAGGTTCCAAGGGCTCATGCATAAAGGCATGAAAACTCGTACTCTACACTAATGCCATGTTTGTCTGTTTGCCTTTTCTGTGTGTATCTGTCATGCTGCATGCTGATAGTTAAAGTTCCTACCAGGACTACAGCTACGTCGAGAGTCACGATCGTAGGTAACGCAGACATAGAAACAATAGCTGTGATCTGCAGTGGCAATGGATGAAGAACAATAAAACTGGGTGGGGAGTGGGAAAATGAAATAGTGGTATATTTTACTGCTATTGACAACGAGCTGGTGATAATTGTCAGACTTGTCCCATTCATCATACTTGGCCGTATTCTGGTAGACAGCTATTGCTCGAAAAAGGTATGGCCGGCCAGCACACATGAATAAAATGATAAATTTGTGTCATTTTTATACGACCACTAGAATGCTGTTGCGAATAACTTATTTCTGACTGCTCTTGTGCTGCAAACATGGGAAATGCCGAGCACTCTTGCTGTCAGCCCATTCTAGTTCTGAAACATCATGCTGTGCAGCAACTTGAAAGGAAAATTAAATCAAAGGTGAACAACGTAAAGGCATCATTGAAGATGAGTTTACTCTGGTTTGCTAATATCCTGTATAGAGGCGCCTCTTAGCAATGGTGAAGCTCAATAAATATAAGGAAATTTTATATTTGACATTAAAGTCAATTTTCGCATTGAATTCATTGAGATACAATGTGATATCTGGCAACACTGTCAATTCTGGTCACTTCACATGCCAGTATGACTAGTTTCAATGTCAGGCACCAAAACATACAAAATGGCCACTCGCACGTCACCAAAAATATTCAAAGTGTCCACTTTTGCATCGCAAACAGAGACACGCTTTGGAATAGCTGTGGAAACATCACGTATTACCATGTCGTGAAGAACCGAAACTAGCTTTTAAAAACATGTAACAATTAATTGTTGCAGGGTGCACATGTGCTTACCATTATATTTACTAGGTTCCTGAGGACTTGGCTTTTCATCTGACCCCCAAAAATGACATCTGAAGGTTTTAGTGACCGTACCTCTTTAGGGCTTAGGTTTAAACGAAGGACAAGACAGACATTTATAGTTTTTAAGGATGTTTGGTTGGTAAAAGGGGAAGTATGCTCAAGTGAGGCCTCTTTATGAAATGGGTGTTGGTTGGTGTGCCGTAGTTGCTGTCGCTTACTGTGCCTTGCTTGATATGCGCTTGTTTCATGTGTCACTGGCAAATGTGGTGCCCACGTCACAGCTGCAAGGCAGCACCTGGCTGCGGATATGCCTAGTGAGTTCGGCTTTTCGTTTTTTTTTTTGTTACTTTGAAACCTCGTTTTTTGCACTCATGTCTGGTTGTGCTGTTGCATTTCGTCTTGCATGACGGCATGCGATTTGACTTTTGCACGCTTGTTCTGGGGTCTTGTGGTTTTCAAGACTGTGGATGGGCTGTGGCACTTTGAATGTACAAGTGCACCGTTGTGGTCAAAGTGCAAGTTTGGGTGAGTTGGTTATTCGCAGAAAAAAACAAAAAAGCAAAGATGGGATACAACAGGACAAGCAAAGAACACCAGGAAGGGTACAAGAAGTGCTTGTAAAGTTCTTTCATTGTTCATCTGGTCTAGTGCGAGACTTAATTTATGTGAATCATTTCGACTTTTTAAGATTCAAGATAAATTTATTCAGTCATTGAGAGTGCTGTATATAATGCATTAGGTCACCTGTCAGATGTGTGTTAGTTGAGGCTCTAGACTAACTTTAGCCAGTGGGCTCTCGTTAATGTGTCAATAAATGTATGTACTTGTACGAAACTGTTGCGAGAATCATCAGCATAATATATCTGTGGTGTCATCGTGTACAGTCAAATTTATTAGATTGCAGGTTTCCCCCATTGAAGGTACTGTAATTCAAATTTATAGCTTTTCACTCCAACATGAATATGCCGTTTTAGATTGCAGTGCATTGCTTTCTTAGCCAGTTCATGCCAATTAAAGTGCATCATGTTTACGTTTGTGACTAGATTAAAAAAAAAATAAACTGCTGCACAAATGTAACATGATGATGAGATGTTCTTGAAGTGTCTCATGGCCAAGTTCTGTTTTAGAATGTTTGATAATGGTGAGTTTTGTTCAAAGAAAATTTGAGTGAGCCAGTATAGTGGCCTTGTGTGTGCGACTTGTGAAATACACTCAAATCTCAATATAATAATCCCGGATAAACAAAATATTGGTTATAATAAAGTAAATGAAAAATAATCTTGCGAAAGATATAGTGTTAGGGATAAACCTTTATAACAAATTTTTGGAGATAACTTAATTTCATGCAAGATGCAACTTTGTTATTATGAGGTTTCAGTGTATAAAATTTGCCCAGTCATAAAAAGAAACCTTGACATCGGCGCTTTAATGGCCCTTTTTTTAGCTTTAAACTTTTTTTTCCAGGGCAGCTTGCCAAACTAATAAGCGAGTAGCCATTTATAGTTGCAGCCGATGTTAGCAGTTTGAGCGTTTTAGGAGATAAAGTGTGTAAATAGTCAAGACACCTGCAATTCAGATTCTGTGCCTTTTAAAGTGTCACCATTAAAACCGACCACAACAAGGAAATTCAGACTTGCTCTTGAACTATGAAAGCATTCTTTTTACATAGTTTAAGGCAGGCAGTGCATGTAGTCTAAGTGAGTGAAAACTATAGTTCATAGGTGAATCACCACATCACACGTGTTGTAGTTAAGTGAATCCTGGTACTAGATCAGCCTTGTGATGGAGCGATGATATCCTTAAGTAATCGCATCATTGAAGTGCCGCTCCTTGTACTGTTATGATACTGTCAATCGACCATTAAAAAAGGTATTTGTCATGTAAACAATGTTCATTGTTTCTTCACCTATTTTTGCACAATGACTCCGACTGCATGTTAAAGTTAGGTTAGGCAGTGAGTTACTGTTATTAAGCCATGATAGCTAATTAAGATAACCACATAAGCTACATTCAGATCGATTAATGCACCTCTGTCGTCATCTTTCGCCAGCCAACGGTAACGCCGACAGTGACCTTCCTGCACCACCCGTTGTCAAGAGGGTAGCTGTTGGTCCTCTGCTTCATCGGCGTCAGTTGGCGGCCATGTATCGCCGCCGCTTCATGCGAAACACACGTAACTACAAAGGACTCTTCTGCGAGGTGAGAGAGCTTCTTGAGCCATATTTTAGGAGCAGTGGCATTGTGTGACACTTGAAGGGACCCTGCAACACTTTTTCAGGTAGCCTTGGCGTGGATTCACTGAAGAAGCATATTGCCTCACGAATTCACCGCCGCACAAATTTTTAGAATCTGTCTAGTACGAGTGGGGTTGCAAAGATTTGTTGCATTCTGCAATTGCGTTCTCGTCCCAACAAAAGTGCTGGAAACTAAGCAGGGAGGGATGGCACGAGGAAGGGAAATAATAACTCGAGCGCTTTTCATGACCTTGAGCACTTTTTCTCTCTTTTTTTCTTCAAATTTGCAACTTTTCAGTGCAATCCCGCGCACACACGTGGACATGTGTCGCGGCCTCTTGCGGGAGCACTCGTAACGATTAAGCACACCGTGCTCAAATCGGCCAATGGCTGATAGAATGGCTACAATGGCTGTAACGAGTAATGTTTTAGCTTGTAGAGTCATTTTTTGAAAGAAGGGAAAGGAAGTCTTAGTTGACTTTGTTGTGTTGCTATAGTGAATTACAGGCTGCGTGCTGCACTATAATATTTGGCTTGCGTGTTCTCGGGAGTCCCGACTACCAATCGGCAGCGTTTTCCAACAATGCAAAAAAGTGTTGCAAGTTTCCCTTAAAACAAAGTGTTTATTTTTTATGTTATCGCATTGTAGTGAAAGTAAAGAAGCATGCACTTCCACAAGTGGTGGGCTAGTGCTATGGCTTTTTGGTGGGCGAACTTGTGCCCCCAGAGGACAAGCACTGCTGAAGCCATAATAAAAGTGGTGGGCTCAGCAGTGGCTAGTTGAATGAGACTCCACCACTCTTTATGCATGCTTAACCACACACTTGAGACTGAACATTCCCAAATACGTTGGGAAACTTTTATCTACAAAATTCACATTCCGGTACAAGAATCTACTGCTCTGTTTATGATGTCGATTGCCGTTAGGCACACTCATTTTGCCATAAATTTGACTGCAGCATTCAACAAAGTTCAACAAAACGAATCGCGTTTGGTGCATAAAGGCAGCTTAATACTATTTATAAATGATTGAAAAATGGTTGCTAGCACGAAATAAAACACGTTGGGTTGAAATATTGTACTATTTATTGTCTTGCACACAATTTGCAAAGTTCTCGTGGAATGAAACGATTCAATTTAGGGTTAAGTAATGCATGTGCTTTCGTTTCTGCTGCCCTGAGTTCATGTTGTATCGGCACAATTTCGGCTCAAACGCTTTTATTGAAGACAATCCCTTTACAGGCCAGATTCGTAGCCATGTGATGCGATTATATTGAGCAAATATACACATAAATTATGATACTTAGTTTTTATGTAGCATTTTATGCCCACGTTCATTTACTTTGGCTTTCTTTTCTGTCAATTTATATGAGTAAACTGTAAGATGTGACAGCATACACGAACTATAATCAAACCAGAGGTCTTAATTGTAAAGTGATCCAGAACAAATCAGAAACTACATTTTACATACGTTCCCCTTAATGCCTATTGCCAGGCATATTGCTCTGCACACCATGACACACTTACACAAGCTCAAGGAAAGAAAGGGACTTGAGAAAACAAAAACATCCTTAAACAGCCAAGATGGATATTACCTATTCAAAATGTTTTCAACTTTTTATAGCTCGCTTAATCACTGGAGTACTTTTACGAATATGCCTGCAACAGTTTTGTGTATTCTCATGTGCCTCCACTTCAGAAACTCATTGGCACCATGTGATTATCTTCATCGCTTCTCTAGATTATCCTGCCCGCTCTGTTCGTGTTGCTGGCCTTGCTATTCACGCTGCTGATTCCACCAATGTCGGAAGAGCCCCCCCTTGAGTTGACGCCGTGGGTGTATGGTCCGCCAAACTACGTCTTCTACAGGTGAGGATGGAGCACCTGGGTGCACATTTGATGGGGCTTGAAACATTTCGTGAAACGCCTAGCAGTCCGACTAGCCGTGGCTTGACATTTTGCAGCAATAATGGCTGTACACCCAAGCCTTGATGTAACGAAATCGGATGTACCGAAATATTAGTTCTGACGAAGTAAATGAAGATTAAGTCTTGCAATAGATATAGTGTTGGGGGATATACCTTTATAACGAATTTTCATATATAACGAAGTTATTTGTATGTAAGGTGCAACTTTGTTATAATGAAATTTGAGTGTATTTGCATCTATGTTGTGCAAGCTATATTAATGGCATTAGTTGTCACGGTAGACAATCGTAGTATGGGCCCTTGATAATGATCACTGCCGCGTGAACTGTCAGAACTGGCGTAGAAGTTAAAGTAGAAAGAAAAAACTCTGAAATGGGCACCACGTTTTGGGCAATTGGTTTTGGGAATCGACTCACTGTAGTGACTGAGAGGTGAGGACTTGCTGCTGAGAACAAGGTATGGAGCTTAGTTTTCAACCGAAATAGACGAAATGCAAAAAAAAAAGTTATATGCTTATTTAGGCAGACATTTGAAGCACGTTCAGTGGTCATAATGACAGCTCATGGTGCTGGATCACAATATATCCTACAGCCCTACGAGTACTTTTCGGGCATTAAATGATTGTACCCTATGAATCTATCGGTCAGTCAATAAATCAGGTAATCTTTTTTTTTTTTCAGACCTTTTTTTAGTAGCCTGTCTTTGCATTCTTTCTGAGCTTACATTAGAAATTCTAACAGCGCTGCCTTAAGTGTTCTCACACATATATATGATTTCTCTCTTCGTGTTGGCCTCCTTGGCTTTGCCAAAATTTATAATGAGCATGCACAAAAAATATCTCTAATGTTGAGATTTGCTTTAGTTAAAACGTAATCTAAATAAGCCATGCAAGACATTGAAAGTGCATGCCTGAACATCCTTTTATGTACCTCCTTCCAGTTCTGAAAACACATCCAGCCCGTTGGCGGGGCAGTACACGAACGCCCTCCTGTCTCGAACCGGCCTTGGTGCCCGCTGTGTGGAAGGGGAACCCCTGAGGTTGGTACTACTACCATATGTAGAAATTGTGTTGGCACTTCCTTCATGAAAAGAAGTTGCTCAGTATAGCCCTACGCTGAAACGAACGCTCAGTTCAAACTGGTAGTGGTTGATTACGACTGGGGTATCATGTGAAGGTGTGCAAGGTACATTTGTGCCCACAGATGTGAGCCATGCACTTCGCAAGATACTCCCGCTTTTTTCTATTTAGAGCAAATGCTGCTTTGTTGGCTTCATGATCATTCATGACCTTTAACAGGGATGTGCAACGTATATTTCTGAAAGTTTGTTCGCCAACCAGTAGGCCTTATTGATGCACTAACATTGCATTCACGCAACTGTTAGAACGTGCAGTGTGCATCGTATTGTCAAGACATCGAAAAACATGAGTGAAAAAAAAACTGATTGAGAGGAGAAGCGACTGGGATGTCTTTTTACATCTTGTGCTAGGTAGTTCTTATTCGCTACTTCTCCTTTAAATGTTAATAAATGTTCTTATCGTCATTATTCTAAGTTTATATTCTCCTCAGATGCAAGTTTTGATGAACCGTTTGCAAAAAACGTCTTGAATCAGCACAAAATTACTCCTATGCAATTGATATTGTAGGTAAAAAACAGAATAGAAGAAGGTATTACAAAGTCTTGCTGTTTTCAGCAACTTTCAGTAATTAGTCATCATTGTCATACAATTAAATGAGTATTTCTTTTGCAATCAGTGACATTTCATTTTTGCATAAAAAAAGAGTCAAATCGTAGCCTAAAAGACGCACGTTATTTTTTTTTGGCTGCCATGATTTCAAGCATACAAAAATTATACTTTTGACATTTATACTGGAATACGGCACATCAAACGAACCACTGAACATTTTAGTGCCTTAATGAAAGTGATCGTCTGGGGTGATGCGCAGCATGCTGAGGTTAAGTGAAGACATGCTGGCTATGCACGATGTTCAGTCCACCTTATGTGCAATGAATCCTTTGCTTTTGCTTGACCACTTGTTTGAAAAAACTGGAAAAACCTAGTTGCATTCATATATGGAGAAACTGTGCCTTTAAAGGGGCCCTGCAACACTTTTTGAGCATGGTCATTAAATGCTGCATATTGGTAGTAGGGGCTCCCGAGAACATGTGAGCCAAATATTATAGCGTAGCATGCTGCCTAAAATTCACAATGAAGTCTCAAAGTCAGCTATAAATTGTTTTTTCTTCTCTCAAAAAATGACAGGAGAAGCTTAAAAATCACTCGGTCGCAGCTGTTCTATCAGCCATTGGCTGATTTGAACATGGCGCACTCGGTCGTTTCAGGGATTTCCGCGGGAGGCCGCAACTTGTCCGTGCAGAAATACTGTACAGGTTAGCTGGCTCAAGAAAAATATGCTCATTTTTCTTAATATTATGTGACATACTATACTATTCGAGCTGTACTATTCAAAGTTATTTGACAAAATGACTTCTCCCCTTGAATTCACTTTGAACTTAAAATTTACTATTTCCACATCCCCACGACAGAATGCATTAATCATCACCCATTTCATTGTGTTTTTTTCACGCAGTGGCTTGGGCTGTGGCGAAACGGGGAACACAAGTGTGCCAGTGTCCGGTGCACCTTACGGCTACGAATCCTCCGAGGGCGGGGGCACTTGCACTTGTGCCAGTGGAGCGCAGCAGTGCACGCGCAATGCAGGCGGCCCTACGCCGCCTGCTGTTCGCAGTGCCACCACCGACATTCTGCTCAACGTGACTGGACGCGACGTCTCGGACTGGATAATTAAGACCTGGAATCCCTACCACAAGACCAGGTAGGATCTCGTATGGGGCTCATATGCCAGAGATGAGAGGTAAAACACTTTCCGAAATTCATAAACACAAGGTTTCTGAGGGAAAGAAGAGAGCAGATAGCTTCCTCACATGCCAACTGTCAGCTTTCCACAATTGTTAAAATCGCTGTAATGAAAGTGCAGAGAAGTAGTAAGCTTCCCAGACGTCGTAAGTGGTAAGTTTGGTCAGCTGGGAATGGTTCATTGTGGAACAGCACAAGAAAGGGCAGAACAATAAGTATGTGAAAGACGCAAAAGAGTTCTATCAACTGAAGCTTTATTCCTAAGAACAAGCCAATTCAAGCGATAAGGTCAAGAGAAACACAATGACTGCATAAGGCTTTTATTTTTCTATCTTATATTGCCTTGTTACAAATAAAGCTTCATTTGATAGTCAGCACTTGTTAGTGCCTATTTCTCATTCTTGGTGTTTCGTCTTTCTTTTGTGCTGTTCCACAATGCTCTGTAATGATTAGTTAATTAGCCAAGCTTCACCAATTAACCCTGTTATTTACCATGCTATACATGTCAGAATCGATGCATTCTAGCCAGTCAGTTCACAAGGCGGATTCATTTGGAAGGAAATCTGGAGGTGGTGTGGTTTCGTTGTATTCACCACATTTAATGGCCGAAATGTACTCTCATTCCAGTTACTTGTAAGAAAACAAGGCCTTGCACGTGGAAATGTATAAGTAGCTGCAAAGCCTATATATTTAATGAAATACTTTAAGAATGAATATCTCGAATCGGGTGTCACCCTATAAATTGTTTGAAAGTAGATATGTCTTGCGAACTCATTCGATCTAACTGAGCAATTGCATTATGCAAGATAAAATGATTCATTAAAATGCAATGATTGAATTCTAAATAATTCACTTTTTTTCAGCGATATTTTAACATTTATGAACATTTGCCACATTCAGAGTACATATTACTTCAAAACAGATTTTTATCAATTAACTAATTAATTGATTAGAAATACTTAACAGGCTCACACAGGCCAGTGCATAAGGGGAGCATCGAAATGTTACACGGTTTATAGACAGCTTAAATGTATACAAACAATAAGAAATCATTGTTCATATTTATACAGTAAAAAACAATTTGGGGCACAGAAATTGAATCTTGCAAAATAGTGACTAGGTTGTAAACAGGCTACAAGAACTAAACACAAATTCTAAAAAAGGCATACAGTTATACATATTATGAAAAATACAAAACCGTGCCTCAAAGATACTATGCTTAAGTACTTTCTTGATTTTTTTTAAAGCATTGCATGAAATATCTGGTTTACAAAAGTGCCTTTACACCATTTCAGATTTGGTGGCGTCCAGTTTGGAGTGAGAAATCACCTGACTTCTCTCAACATCGCTGCTCTTGAGGAAGCAGTTTCAAAAATGGATGCCCCCAGTGGCCTGAACCTTTCGGCAGCACTCCTCGCCCTGCGTCGTGGCGTCGACAGTTCTACAGTACAAGACAATGTGAAGGTTTGTTTCCTACTACAATGCTTGTGGGGTTCCGCTTGTTGCACTTGCAGTCTTTTTCACTTTTGAGCACTTCGTACCAAAAAAATGTTACAGTAAAATCCCTTTATAAGAGGCATGCTCTGGGGAGCAATTACTGTTTTTTATATGATACTTTTACTTTTATAAACAGGTTACCACATATGCGTTTTCCTATTAATGCTTCTTTAAATGTAGGCACACTGGTGTGTCTTATACCAGTTGTCTGTCACATCAGTGTCTATAGAGGGTTCAACTGTATGCTGTGCACAGCTGGCACCTTGGTTGTTTCACGAGCGCAATAGACGTAGGACTTGCACCGCAGCGCAGCGAGTCAGTGAGCCTTTTTATTAAGAGACTATAAGGACTCAACAAAGCTAGCACAATATGCGAAGACCAGACCAGCTATTTCTGCAATTCTACACTCATTTGCTGTAACCATCAATACAAGTGCCTTCATTTATGTTCTTTGGTTGTTTTATTTGTAAACACCATATCTTGCCTTTTCCATTAGTCCATGTTATTTAGTCGTTCTTGATTCTTCACTTTTTGTCTTAATATCTTATGATTCACCATTTCCTTCTATAGGCAGAGTTACATTTAAGATGCTATTTGCCGTCCAGCATTAATTCCTCGCATTTCGATGACACACTTTCACTACTCCCTCTTTTGGGTATTGAAGGTTGTATGCCTGCCGGCTGCAATTTGCAGTTAACCATGACAGAGAAGCATTACGATAGTTTTAGCGCGAGACCAAAACGACGACACAGAGACAAGAAGGACACGAAAGACACGAGCGCTCGTGTCTTTCGTGTCCTTCTTGTCCAGAGTGGAAACCTTTTGCTTCGCCCAGACACGGGAACAGTCATTGTGCTTTGTTAGAGCTGTGCAAGGCAAATAAAGTGTTTGTATTAGATCGAACTCGTCGCATTTTGCAGTGCAGTGCTTGACGCTTTAGATAGCTCAGGACATGTGCAGCGCAGAGCTACACGTGAGCAGGCTAGGCGGGACGCAGCCCTGTTGTTTTCTTTGTTTATACATGTATCTACAGCGCCCTGTGGGGACATTGTTGTTGGGGCTCGTGTCTTTCGTGTCCTTCTTGTCTCTGTGTCGTCGTTTTGGTCTCGCGCTAAAACTATCGTCATGCCATACCAACTAGCCCAAGCTGCCACACTTCTAAAGAAGCATTGCCACTTTCAAGCAGCCGACTGACTCCCATGAACTGCTTCACGACAGGTGTGGTTCAACAACAAGGGCTGGGTGTCCTCGGTGGCGTACATGAATGCCATTAACAATGTGTTGCTGCGGGCGCACCTTCCATCTCAGGCTGAGGCCAGCTACTACGGCATGTCGGTCATCAACCATCCGATGAACTTTACTCAAGATCAGCTTCAGGATGAACTGCTGTGAGTTGCACGCGTGATGCTTCAAATTGATCACTTATGGTGACGTGCGACAATGTTTTCGTTAGTTGGGAACCTGATACTAAAGGAAATGCTGGCTGCATGCTCTCTTTTAAAATTTGCTTGATCTGGTATATGTGGTTTCTCTCAAAAGCATAGCTTTCCCAATTTCTCAGAAGAAAGGTGGTGGACATGGATAGGGTTTGTGAGAAAGAAATCACTCCCCCCCCCCCCCCCCCCCCCTTCATCCCTCTGAGAGATACTTATGGTTGCTATATATTCTGTCTGTTCACTGTCACATCAGCACAGGAAAATGTTTTAGAATGTTGGAGAGGAAGTGTGGGTTAATAGTGGCTTGCTTTTGTGGTTGAACAGGTTTTATATTGCAGCTTGATTAAAGAATAGGAATGGAACACGTAATGAATTGCCGTTGGGGTGACACAGTCGGTAAACACTACAGTTAGTCCAATGTATTTGGTTGCAGCAGACAATCAGATGCAACGATTTAGTTGTATCGCTGTTTGTAAGATGTGTGACCATATACTCTGGGAAAAGCATTTCTTTAGTTCATGAACAGTACTTGTAGTTCACTATTAACGCACATTGTGCAAATCCATGCAACCATCTTAGGCTCTATTAAGACTGATTACGTTGTGTTTATGAAACTTGCTTCAGGAAGGTCTAAAAAGCGTAAATTTAGCCGTATTGCCATTTCTCAAGAGATCAAATAACGCCAGATTATACCTACGTCCATATGTGCTTGATGTGAATGCAGTCACCAACCCTTGTGTCATGTAAGATAGCGATTATGCAATCTACTCAGGTTCCGTGATTGAGTCCTGCATGTTGACTCATTAATTACTTGCAGGAAGCGAGGGGGTCTAAGCCTGCTGCATGCGACATGTGTCATCTTTGCCATGTCCTTTGTGCCGGCCAGCTTTGTCATGTTCCTCATTGAAGACCGCACCTCGGGTTCTCAGCACCTGCAGTTTGTGAGCGGCCTCAAACCGTTCCTCTACTGGATTGGCAACTACACCTGGGACCTGGTAACCACCTTTCTCTTTTGACATATTAATTTGTCTTTCTAGTCTAGCTGCACAACTGCGGTGGAAAAGAAAAAAATCATTCAGCAGCTCTTGCTATTTATGAAAAATGGGGGCAAACAAAGCCTGATGTGTGCATGCCTGATGTTTTTCTTTCTGTTGAATTGTCCAATGCTCTTTCCCAATTGTTTCCTTCCTGCATGCCGGGAATCGAACCTTCACCCTTTTCATGCAACGACGACAGTCATGCATTTATATCCAGACAACCATGGAAGGCAGCGATGTGAAATGACAAGCCACTTTGATAAGAGATCAGACTGCCATATCAGAAATGGTTGACTGCCAAAGGGCCACGATGGAGAGAGAGTCAGTTATTAAAAAATGGTGCTCTCAAATATGTACGTGGCCCACTTACACATTTATCATACATGTACACTCGCAGATATCTTGCATACTATATAGTCACCAACGAAATCTGTAAATAGATTTTTTAAAGTATTGTATCTTCGTCACTGTATCTTTTCGCATCTACCGTACTTGTTAGCATGGGAACATTTCCTATAATGACAGTTGAGTTTCAAAATCAATTTTCAATAGTGATGAGAGGTAGGCCAGTCTACTTCTAGTCAACATCATGGTTCTGTCTCATAAAATCTCAGAAATTATTAATATTTTATTACGGCATTGTAGCCGTTGCATCATAGTGCTAACAGCTACATGGTTGTCTAACACGCTAATGTATTTGTATAAGATGGGAGCTTTTTAAATCTTTGTACTGGGGCTTTTCAATGTGAAGAATCCTTTTGAGGCTGCCAATAGTGTTAGAAACCTGGCGTGACGCACTCTTTTGAATGTTACGAACAGCCCTTCAATATAATTCGTATTTTTTCAGTGCAACTACATTGTGCCTGCTGTGTTGTGCATCTTCATCTTCATGGCATTCAAGGAAGAAGCATATGTCTCACATGACAACATTGGTGGGCTGGTCCTTCTCCTGTTGCTTTACGGGTGAGCTTGAATGTGCATAACAATTTCCAAATGCGATAGCATGATTGTAGAAGGTTGGAGGCAATTTTTTGTCCTCTTCGATTCCTGGCATTTAAGAGAAGATCATTATGCTAAATAAAAAATGATGTCCTGTATGCTATTCTTGTGTTGTTTGTTGGTTTCATTATTTTAATTGACAAGGGGATAGTTTTTGTCAGGGCAAAAACTTCAGGTTAAGGTCTCGACCTGACATTGTTGCCTTGTAAATGGTAAGCCTGTTTGTCAAGCAGTCGGTTTGACGAAAAGTAGCGAGAAATGTTAAACTGAGCATTTTCCATCTTATAATTGCAAACAACTTCCATTGTTAGAACATTGGTTCCAGGTATAGGTTCCTCCTTTTCAGTAGCTCTTCAAGCATGACAGGAATTAGTGCTGGCATCTCGTGCATAAGCTATGCGCGTTTCCCGTTGTACCAATATTTTCCAGGTGGTCCAGCATCCCGCTGATGTACCCATCGTCATTCATCTTCAGCGTGCCTAGCTCTGCATTTGTCACGCTCGCCTGCTGCAACCTGTTTGTCGGCATTGTCAGCACAGTCTCCACGTACGTGTTGGAGCTTTTTGATGACAAGGTATACACTGAATTTTCTCCTACTGTCTTCAGTGTGCCCGTTAATTGGTTATATAGTCAGTATGTTGTGCACATTTCCAATATTATGGGCAAATGTTATGTGGAACAATGTGTCAGTTTAGGCTTGTTGACATTTTGTTGGTTGCGAGTTATGGAGAACCTTTGTTATATGCCATTGTACAGTGTGCTGTTCTGGCCCCAGTTTATTGTTTCGGTGCTGCAGTTGTGTTTGATGACCCTGCTCCATACGTGTTCGCAGGAGTTGCAGTCTATAGCGCGTATCCTTCGCAAGGTGTTCCTGGTGCTGCCGCAGTACTGCCTGGGGAGAGGTCTCATGGACATGTTCTCCAACCATCTCACAGCCGAGGCTTTGGCACGATTTGGTAAGTCACCTTTCCCAGAAATGTTCAGCGCCCTAGCGAAAGCAGGAGCTTCTGTTGTCTTTGCTCAATATGACCTTCTCAGTTTGTTAGTTAAGTTTTCTTTAGTTTAACAAACTACACATTAAGATGCTGTGAGAGAAGGTGCACACAGGATGCCTGAGATAGTACTTCTCCTTCACCTACCTTTTTTATCCCATCTTAAGTTGTTCACTTGTTAAAGGGTTCCCGCAACACTTCTCCAAGTAATCATCGAATGGCTTCCAGGAAGGAGTTGATTGCCTCATGAATTGACCGCTGCAAAAATTTTTAGAATTTGTCAAGTACAAGTAGATTTTGACAGATTTGTCACATTTTAAGCAGTTTCTCTTTTTCGTACAAACGAGTGTGCTGAAAGCTTGAAAGCTAGCCTGGGGGGGGATGGGAAAGAGGCAAGAATCTGCATCTGTTCAGTTCACATTATGACCTCGAGCACATCCTTTCTTTTTCTCTGAACGAACAACTTCAATTGTGATTGCAAGTGAGCACGTCACGGCATGCCACGGCAGCTGAGGTAACAACGAAGCTCACAATGCTCAAGTTTGCCAATGGCTGTGGACTTTTGGTTTATAAAAGGGTCATTTCAAATATGTGTCATCATTTGTCGAGAGGAGTGAGCAATTTTCGGCCGGCTTTGAAAATTAATTGTAAATTTCATGCCGTGTGCTGTGCTACAATGTTTAGCTCACATGTCCACGGGAGCCTTTTCACGTACTGTCTAGTGACATTAGTGTGTAGCTGCTTGCTTATTACTGATGACCATGGGCAAACTGCACTAAAGTCTGTTATAAAAAAGGCTAACTGTGAAGCTAATTAGCCTCCCACATTCATAGATGATGATCACCATAAAAGGCTTGATAGCATACGAAATGACAAGAATAAGCACCTGTATGTTTTGTGTCTGTAAGACAGTTTCAGCATTACAAAACTATTATAGGCTTGTTTAGCAACACAATCCTTCGCCTGTCTTGCAAGTGGCATTAACATCCAGTTACAAGAAAACAACAACAACAACAACAACTAAAAGTACACAGATGACCAGATGATGACAGCATGATGAAATCATCACACAACAATGCAATAAAAACATGTAATGACATCATCGCATGACAATTGATGACATCATGTCGGAATGTTATGTGATATAGACATAAAATAAGTGTGGATGACAACATATTCATCATGTCCTGTCACGCTGTGCTTTGGAATTCAATGCAAGTGAGGACAATTGGGTGCCTTTGTGTCCTTGTGTGCTAAACCCAGTGAGAAACCTTTTGTCAATTGTCCTCAGTATTGTTGCAATGTTGTACTAATATATCATAGCTGAAAGTTCCAAATATTCTTGTTTGACTGCTGTGGGCACTATCCACTGTTCCAGGCTTGAAGACCTTCAAGCATCCATTGGAGTGGGACTTCTTGGGTCTCAACCTCATTAGCCTTGCTGTTCAAGGCCTTGTGTACTTCAGCTTCACACTGCTCCTACAGTATCGCTTCTTTGTGAGAAAAAGGTGTGTTCTGCCTGGCATGATTCAACATCCATTCTTTCATTTTTGCTATTCTTGCTAAAAGAAAAGAAATGCCGTCATGACATGCGGTCTTAGGCATTTATCACGTTTCTCTTAGCTACCAACAAGTTGACTAGCTAATTGAGCTAATTGTATAACTGGGTTGGGAAAAAGACATGTGTAATAGTTGCTTGGTTCAGAGGTTTTACCCTTATGGGGACTCTAAAGAGAACGGAAATTTTAGCTGTGTTACAAAATGAGTTTTATGATTCACGAGAAAAGTTTCTTGTTGCAAAAGGCCAGAAAAGAAAGAAAAATTTCAGCAAATTGCCATGAGAGGAACAGCTGTAATGCGTGAATCATGTGAGAGAATAAGGAAGAACATTAGTAGTACACACATATTGTTTTATTTCATTATTATAACAGCAGGTAGCCATTACAGCCATAATCTAACTACTAACATTTAACTAACATTAGCCAGTGCTTGTAGTATGTGAGTAAATATGGCATGCTTCATAAATATCTCTGTACACTTTAAAAAAAATTGTTGTTGTGATGGACATTGCATCTTACCATTCATATGTGCTATTTTGCGTCACTATACTCCGGGACAACTTTCTGCAGCAATAAAGGGAAAGCTACAAGGGCGGAGCTATTACGCATGTTATCCTCGGCGAAGTAGTCCGGCTAGACTTGCTTTTCGTATGACGGCTGTGTTTGAATAATGCTAAAGCGCAGAGCTTAGTACGTCTGCTTACACAGTCATTTGTGAGTGAAATTGGACCCAAGCTCCTTCGGTGAGTTGTTAGAATACCTGGAGGGCAACACGCACCCATTTAGAGGTGATGATGCTATTTTGACTATGAGGTGCACCTAAAACGAGTGATGTTTTCAGAGGTGCAAAACGGGAAATTACATTTCATAAGGCAAAACAAAAATTTTATCTCTTTGGCTCGTTCAACGTCCCTTTATAAACAAGATCCTGTAGAAAATAAAGTAATGTCATTTTTTTTATGATTCTCGCACGTAAAACATAGATGCATTTGTGGGAAAGTGGTGGCACACGCCCACTTTGATTCCGTTGCTTTCCCTTCATTGCCACAGAATGTTGTCCCCGAATATAGAATTCTTTTTTCCAAATTATTGCTTGAAAAAGGTTTTTCTATCTGACCCAAAAGCTGACCATAAAGCTGTTTCTAAAACCTCCCACGTTTTTCTCATGTAGTGTATGGCATTAAACATCTGTAGATTAGGTAGTATATCACCACCTTGAAGTTTTTATACCAGATTCTTACTACTTTATCTATTTGAACAGCATCTATTTGGGTGCGCATATCTGTCTATTGAAATGGCTGCTTTGTATTTAAATAGTAATAGCAATCAATTTAGCAAGTTTTAAGAACACTTACACACCTCACTTTTACTTTTACTGGATCGTCAATGAGCTAAAATGAGCTGAACACTTGTTTGTGAAGTTGTAAACTTTTTTTCCTGTTTTCTATTTAATACTTATTACAGTAGGCTCTCAGTAGATGGAAACGTCTTAAAAAAATAGCAGCTTAAGTACAACAACTGTCTCTGATACTTGTACTTGAATTCTGCTTCCCTGTTTACCTATTCGTTAACAGAACTCCTGTTAAACATAACATGTTTCCTAGTCCCTTAAGGCTCTGTTTAACCAGTCTGCTGTGTTGGGTGGCTGCACATTTGTTAACCTCTTCTGGGTTACATTCTTTTTTAGGCAGCAGACAGTGCCATTTGATCCTAAAGAGCTTGCAGATCAAGACGTCACTCAAGAGAGGGAACGCGTACTTGCTGGCCAGGCAGATGATTCCATACTCAAAGTGGTCAACCTTACCAAGGTGAGCGGTGTGCGGGCAGTAACGGTCATTCCCTGTGATGAGCATTAGAATGGCTGAAAAGAGTTGCATAGGTAGGCTTGAGGTCATTGTTTCATGATCCATGCAACTGATTGATTGGTCTCTGCGAGTGGGTAGCAATACCCGGTTTGAAAAGGCATGCATACAAAATACGGTTGTTCCTTTCTGTTTTTCTTATGTTCACATTAATTTTTTCAAACTACGAGGCTTTCTTTTTAAGAAATCTGAATGGATTCTCTTTGGTGTGATAAATTTTTTATTTTACAAATGTTTGTCATCCTCACAGTCTTCTAACGAACTGATTTACCTTGTTTATATTTCAACACCTGCCTTTGAATCCCTGTTTAATTAATCAATTAAAATGTAAAAAGCAGCGCTCACATTTTCAAAAAATAGAGCAGTCATTTGCAGTGATGTGGCAAACAACTTTCTTTCTTTTTTTTTTTTATGTGTTACGCATACGCTGTCTTGCCTAGGTGTACCGAGCCGGCCAGCACCCGGCCGTGAACCACCTTTGCGTCGGTGTGAGGGCAGGCGAGTGCTTTGGATTGCTCGGAGTGAATGGCGCCGGGAAGACCACCACTTTCAAGATGCTCACCGGAAACACAGAAGTGACCGAGGGAAATGCCTTCATCTCGAGCTACAGGTAAATCATTACGAATCATATATCAACTGTGGGCTGCTCAGTAACCAACACCTTTTTCTTAATTAATCCACCACTGTAATTTATTTGTTATGGTGCTCGACAGCTGACCCACAGGTTGCAGGACCGAATGCCAGTCGCATCGACCACAATTTTGGTGGAGGTGAAAATGCTCAAGGCCTGTGTACTTGGATGTTGGTGCACATTAAAGAATAGATGATGCATTGTTTCTGTAGACAAAAAGATGCAGTAGAATCTTGCTGATATAAACCCGGCTGATACGAATTTCCACCTCATAGAATTATGCCGAATTCCCCGACCGAACTTTATTGTTTCCAATGAGGCGAAATTTAGATGTTTCAAACACTTTACCGCATTGCAGCTTGGGTGCTGAAACGGTCAAGTGACGGCCGAGAGAAGCGTGCTCCGGAAGCTTCGGAAGTACACGTGCAGTCAATGCACATGCAGTCAGAACTGTCGGTATCGTTTTTCACGGCCACTGTGGATTAAGCCACATTCACCATCAACGTGATCGTGTACGGCGACAATGAAACTATAAATGTATGCATGCATCCAATGCCCACCGCTTAAAAACAATGCTGCCTGCTGCAACCGCTGTGGACAAAAAACCACGGTAGATGGGATCTTAGATAGGGCGCAGTTTTGAAGGCACATGCATGGCCAGCGTATGCGGGTTGAAAAAGGGAACTACCATTTGCTACAACCACTGCTCAAGAAACTGTTGTCGTTGTAGACACATTTATCGCTAGTAACTATGCAACTTTGAACGTACGTTGCTAACACAGTGGTAAATTAAAGGCATTTGTGAAGAGGCACGGAGAATATCAGTGTTCTCGTTGTTCCCTAATAACTATGGTAAAGTGGACTTCAGCACTTAGTTTTCAGCTGTCTTCAACCGAACCTCTGATGCATGTTCGTGGCAGCCAGTTGTGCACCTTTATGGATTCATTTGTGTGTGTTAGAAATATATACACGAGTTATTTCCATGGCAGTAAATGTTACATGCGTATATCATAGTTAGAAAATGGACTTGGCTAGTCTTTTTTGGTAATATAAAATTTCAGGCAATTCGAATATTTTCACTCCCCCGTGAGGTTTGTATCATCGAGATTTGACTGTACATGTGGAAATGGCTTGGCAGCTATAAGGCTATTCTGGTGGATGGTTTGATGTTCAATTGTTTTAGATATTGCATGTAAGAAAATAGAGATCCACCTGTATCACTGCTGCATTGCACTCTTCGATCTATGGAGTATGGTTCAGCAGAAATCTACACTTTTGCTGAATGTATGTGAAACATGTTTACTATGCATGAAATGTTTTGTGTTCACTTCCATTCTCTCGTAAATTGGTTCGGTTGTTTTATTCTGATATTGAAATTCTTTTCTTGCAGTATACGCACCCAAATCGATCTGGCGCGTCAGAACATTGGCTACTGTCCACAGTTTGATGCATTGGATCCTTTGCTCACGGGATGGGAACACTTGGAATTCTATGCACGGCTTCGTGGAATACCTGAGAAGTACGTCCAGAAGGTTTGTATTGACTTTGATGTTTGCTCGTAGTGTGAAATAACCTGGTACGAGTTAATCTTTTCAGGGAGCAATCTTTGGTAAAGGCAGTGTCACTCATATTTTTAAGCTGCATTTAGGCAGTCAATCTTGGGGATGTTCAATTTTTATCTGCACCGGCTTGTTTTCGACACAGGGGTAAAACTGCTCCATTATTCCTCACATTAACTTGTCACGGTTTATCACCTTTCTAGCATTTATCTTGTGCAACGTGTATCAGCAGTGCTGCAGAGTACTGAAAGCTCGATGTACCGAATCCAGATGTAATGAAATATTGGTTACAACAAAGTAAATTAAAAATAGTTTTGCGATAGATATAGTGTTAGGATTATGCCTTTATAACGAGTTTCTCGGTATAACAAACGTTTTTTCGGGTAAGATGCAACTTTGTTATAATGGGTTTGAGCTATTTTTTTTTCTAAAGCTCAGGGTCTCTATTCATGAAGCACTTTGTGTGCTAAAAGGGTTTGTAAGAAGATGTATTGGCCTCTCATAATCATGCATGTATTTCAGAAAAGCAGCCAGCCAATAGCGGTATAAAAAAAAAAAAACGAATGAATTGAAGTTCTACTTTCAACCTCCGAGGATTGCACTTTCTTGCTACAATGCTGAACTGCGACCCATTTGAAGTTCATGCCATTTCAAACCTTAAATTATTAGTCCAGCTCCTATACGTTACTGAAATTTCTCGAAGATGGTAACGGCAAAGATTAAGAGTGTCAGTGTTTTTCATTTTCAGTTCTTTCAATAAATATTCGGTACCTTACATAAAATGGATAGATGGGTGTCCCAGAATGCATCTGGACACATCATCGATAGTAAATGTAAAAAAAAAGAGCAAAAGTGTACAAAATGCAAAAGGCATCAACTCTTTCTCGCGTACAATGTCCCCACAAAGTTCCACGTGGGTTTGAGGTTTTGGAACGTGACTGTGTCTTTGCTGCCACAAGGTGTGTATAAAAAAGTATTCTGGATCTCCTTTTTGCTGCAGGTGGCAGACTGGGGCATCCGCAAGCTAGGGCTGCACCGTTATGCCCACCGATGTGCCGGTACCTACTCTGGGGGCAACAAGCGAAAGCTCAACACTGCCATAGCCTTAGTCGGAGATCCTCCGCTGGTGTTCCTGGTGAGAGCCACGCACCATTTTCGAGAGAAACTTTAATGTTTTGTTCGAAATCGAAATAACCATATGAATTGGTTCCACAATATCCCGCAAGGTGGCAGATTGGTTAAGAAAAGCAAATTTACCACCACACATTTGTCAATTGTTGGTTAAATGGGTATCGATCAGTTGCCAGGTTCAGTTCCTGAACCAAAATGAATTTTCTGGCTACTGAGAAATGTTCTTGTTGAAAAAGCCACATTGAATACCTTGTGGCTTTGTGCTACAAAGGATCGGATGTCAATTTCTCACTCTTAATCCTTCTGTCTCCTTTCGGGATTCCGCTATACTGATTAACACTTAGAACCTAATAATGAGCAAACAATGACAACACCAATTTAAAATTAAGAGGCAATGGCCAGCCCAACTTTTAAGAAAGCTTTGCTTTAAGATACCAATCACTTCGTAATTTTTTCACCTCTAAGAAAAGTTTTTCTTCATAATACTTCACTTCATCTGTCATGGGCAACTGACTGAGGTTCGAATAGTCTTCCCTCACTTCTACGGTTTGCAACTGAAACCACTGCACCGAATTTGCAAGAAAGTACTCGCGAATCATGTCACCATTACTAGACAGAAGGCTGCAGATATTAGTCTATTTACCATTGAGCTAGTTGTTTGATGCATTCCTGTGTATAACAGCCGTGGCTGACAGCTTGTACTCTGGACCGAACCCCAGTAAGATACATAGAGAAAGCACAGAGCTGCGCTAATGTTTCGCGTTTTGATGAAACCTTATGTTCACAAGCTGTCGCCGTATTATCTCAAGTACATACTGTTCCACGTAAAGTGCAGTGATTGGAAATTCATAATTCAATGAGGTGCATGGAATGCATGTTCCGTGACTTTATACATCAAGTACAACACTTTGAAAGCTATACAAGAACTCCGGAAAACGCACATGTGTTTCGCCCTTGGATTTTAATGTGAATGTGGCCTTCATGATTGGCTCTGGGGCTACGTTGGAACCAGTCATAGAGGCTACAATACGAAAATGAGGGGCCACTAAGCGATCCAAACACACCTACCGACAATTGTATAAATAATGGCTGTCTTTTTTATTTTTAAGGCACAATGCATCTTTATTTATTACTCGGTCTAAGAACGAAACAAATGGAATAAATATGACATTATGGGCAGTAAAATCGTTGAACTATTTCTTGTTGTGAATACATCTACTGATAAATGTCTTGTCAGCTTCCATAGCATTGTGTGCTATGTATGAAATGCAGTATAGGTAAGTTTCCTCGGGTTAGCACTGTGTAAAAGACTTTTTGAGGTCATGAAATTTATATTTGCCACTCAGTCCTGCATTTTCTCTTGTATATTTGATTTTTTTTTTAGGACGAGCCCACAACAGGCATGGACCCCAAGGCCCGCCGTTTTCTGTGGGACTGCATTCTGGACGTTGTTCGTGACGGCCGGTCTGTCATTCTGACATCGCACAGGCAAGTCACTCTGTACACCCTGCAGGAGCACTTGAGCTAAGCATGAGAGAACTAAATAGCGAAAAATTTGCGTGCACCACAGCGATGCACCACGAAAAAAAGTGCACAAGGACTTTCATCGTGTCTTCGTGTGGTGTGCACAAATTTTCCACTATGCACCCAAACCAACTAGTCTGCTTTTTCATCTTGTTCCGTAAGAACGCTGTTATGCTTTGGCAGAACTATGGTTGCGCGTTAAAGGGGACAGAAAGAAAAAAAAAAAAGTTGCGTCGAATAATTTGATTTTCGAGGGTTGCTTGTCATCTGTGATTTACCATCAATATGTATATACAAACAAATGCACTTGAACAGCAGTGCTGAAAAGTTGGGATAAGTGCAGGCACGAAGTTCGCAACGCTTCTTTTTGATAAAAAGTACATTTATAACATTTCAACCAACCTTGACTCATACTCTACACAAATGTATGTCACCATTGATGCATTAATCCAGAAAATAGTGAAGCATTACTGAAATTCTGTTGCAGATGATTTATTAGGAAATTTGAGCATCCTTTTGAAATTTTTAAATGGAGCACAATACATGATTAATTTTACAGTTCTATGTGTAAGCATGTTAGTGTATGAACACATTTATGTCCTCTGCCATGAACGCATAAATCGTCCAAGTGGGGAGCATAGCGGCATCTTTTGCTCGTGTACGTATTATCTTGCTAAAAATGGTCTAATGGAATTTTTGAAAGGTTCCAGAACTAGTTTTTCGTGGTATTTTGGGTGGCTGGCTTACTATTATGTATAATACCACTGTGTGTCTGTAAATTGCTAGTTTTGCCTTTCTTTTTTGTCTTCTCTTGCAGTGCCAGTCCAAATGAGTTACAGAATTCTTTTAAAAATAAATTGTATGTCAAACTCTGGACTTGCTATTCGCTGTGTCCAATGCAGTTACAAATTCTAGAGAGTATTCAGTTTAGTAAACTTCAGTGAACTGTTTCCTTGGGTCCCTTGAAGTTCACTCACGCTCACTGTATTGAACACCGACCTTCGGTTTTATTATCACTGCACATGCCCCAAAGTGATTAATAAAAAATGTTAACTAGTAAAATTGTATTAACAAACTATTCTTACTTTTTAGTTTGTCACTGAAACGAATTCTGCCTTTTCAGTTCAGGTGAAGAAATAGCAGCATGCTACATGGCGCTGGTGGGTTTTCGAAAATCGATTTCAGATGAGAAACTGCCGAATAACTAGGCAATATTTGCGTTGTCACAGTGGTTCAATTATCTTTTGAAAATATTTTCGCTGATTGTGCAGTTTAGCTTGTTTTACATGCATGCCATGTTAATGCCTAATCAGAATTCTTACTCACATCCCATTTTCATGGTGGTATAAATGCTGTGATGTTAGTATTTACACTTTTATAACATACTACTGATGTTGTGATGCCTTTTTTTTTTCCTTCTTGCAGTATGGAAGAGTGTGAAGCATTGTGCAGTCGGCTTGCAATCATGGTAAATGGGCAGTTTCGCTGCTTGGGGAGCATACAGCACCTCAAAAATAAGTAAGCACTCTGATCGATTGATTGAGTTATTTATTGATTGATCAATGTATAATTGATTGATTTGCCTAGTTTCTAAAAAAGACATTCAGCCTTTCAGAGATGCCACATCGTAACAGCTGGATTTTTTTTTTTTTTTGCAGGGCTGATTAGCGTGCAAAAAACTCAGTACTTGTATTGCAATAGTGTTGAAAGTTGGGCTAGTTGGTACGGATGCATTTTTGGTTGCAGCGGGAAAACGACGAAGACGTTTGAGCAATTTTGGTCACAGGTTTGGTGTAAAATCAGTCTTCTTGGCTCCTGAAAAACTTTCTAGAATTCGTCCAACGGTTTGGAGGAAAATCGAGAAATATGGCAAGGAAAGAAGTTACTGCGGAGTTAACCATGTTTTCATTTTTGTGCCCTGCAGGAGCAGTATTGTTGGCCAGATCACTCTTGCATGTGAGTGTTCACACGTGGGGCAGAGTGGACGTTGCATTATTGTGCATTTAAGAGAGCACAGAAATTCGCTCAAGTAACCAAACACTTCGAATTAGGCATCGCACTGCAGCACGTGTGGCTGTTCACCTGTCTTTGCCGACACAAAGATTTTTTTGAAGCACAGATTCCAGATAACTAGGGATGTGATAGAGGCTATCCATGTTAAATGAATGAATGAAGCATTCGTCAGTCGGGCATCAATACATCTCACTGAAATAGAGTTTGTTCATGTGAAAGAGTGAAAAAGAGCACATGTTCCGTCAACTGATACCCCTTGTAACTTATTGTACTTACTTTTAATGCTTCTGCGCAATGTTGATACACTTCTCCTTTTTTTTAATGATTTTTTCGTGTTCTTGTATTCTTAAAATAAGACTTTTAGTTGTGACAGCGCTCGTTTGTGTCTCTTCTGTTTTTCATCTTCGTCGTTCTCGTCTGTAACCAAAAATCCAGGACTTCTCCCACGCACTTTAAAAAAATGTAACCATTGTGACTGGAAGTGAAACTAGTTACCTCTTGCACATTATAGCTTGTGGTTGGTCAATCGCATCATTGATAGAAGATCCTTATACAAGTCTACGAAGCAAACTGTTGAGCCAGCACCCTTAGTTTGTGGACACTTTCTCTTTTTGCTGTGTTATGTAATGCTAAACAAAGAGTACTGCATCTGCACATACACACATCCAATCATGGACTTAATGATTGATCATGTTGACTGTGGTGAACATGCCAAGCACGTAAAACTCATCCAATTATTTTTATTGACTTATTCCTTCCTTATGCTGTCTGTAATCAAGTTCAGCGTATGCTTGTCAAAGGGTAGATTGTCGATAGCATAGACGAGGTAGTTTGGGCATATTCGTTCTGAGGAAGACCTCCAGGTACAGGAGGGCTCATTATGGAGAAACATTGTTGTCTGCCTGTTAGTAGCATGAGTGTTGACAGAAAATTCATACAGGCTTACCAGACAAAGAGCATTCTAGCTGCAAAAAGTTCGTAAATATGGGATTAAACATAAAATGTAATCCCTGACCTGGATGAATCTTTCATCAACTATAAAGCTTTCTTTATGAAGAATCTGTCTGGATTTCATGTGTAACCTATATTTACTATAATGGGTCGCTGTGGGTGTACAGTGTGTACGATGTTCGGCTGCTTATTCCAAAAGGTGGCCCTTGATCCTGGCGTCAGCATTTGCAGTGTGATATAGGTGAAATCCTACAGGCCCGTGTGCTTAGATTTAAGTGCATGTTACTGAACCCCGGTGGTCAAAATCATCTGAAGGTCTTCACTATGGCGTCCTTCATAGTCTGAGTCCCTCAAGCTATGAGCAATACGAGTGAATAACAATTTTTTTTTCTTTAAAAAAGAACTTTTGAGCAATAAATGAATACACATTACACTTTTTTTTTCTTCACTTCTCTTATTTCATGAGCACATTGGTGTATGTGAATTTCATCTTGCCAAAAGGTCAATAGCTATATTTCTAGCATCGTCTGACTTATCTGCACTAGCTGACATACGAATGCTAACGCCTGTTGCATGCATTGCAGTCACTTGTTGCTTGGGCTCTCAGTGTTTCCAATGGCACTCACAACTACGTACATATATACTGTGATATCAGTGATTGTGATTGTGATTGTGATAATTAGGCTCGTACGAATAGTGAATTTTAGGTTCGAAGCAAATAGCCATTTTGCTAGAATAATTCCAAATTGAATTCGTATAGTATGTGTCACGTATTATAAACAGAAATGGATGTATTTGTGAGGACCAGACTAACCATTCCAACATTTTTTAAGAATATAAAAAAGGCCTGCACAAATGCCATTCTTTTTGGCTCAAAGAAAGTGGAGACAACTTTGAATAGTAGCAGGATTTGACTTTCAATAGAATGCAAGGGATAACTTGTAAAATATGTTACCTTTTAAAAGTTACTGTACTCAAAGCATATAAGCCAGTAACAAAAGCTTTTAAACTTAAAAAATAAAAATGATGAATCGATGAGAGGTTAATATGTTCATTTAACCTTGAAGTGAAGTTTCGTGGCGGTGTGGATTTTTTTAATTAAGTGTTTTTATGGTTTAGCACTGGTTAACTACAATGAAACTATCTTTACAGGAGAATACATAAAAAATAATATGCAGTGAAATAAGTGTTTTCACAGCTTAGCATTTCTTCAGTGCAGTGAAACCATTTTTACGAGAGGATTACATTCGAACTAATATTCATTCATTCTTTCATTTCAAATACTTCAAAATTTTCAATAATTCGAATTGAAGCGAATTTGAATACAGTAATATTTGTTCAAATATTTGAAGCATTCGAATATTTTCACAAGTCTAGTGATAATGATGGGTGGGGCTTAACATTCTGGAGGAACACAAGGGTGTGTGGTAACGAGGATAACGAGGGATTCTCAACATTGGCAAAGCTCCTATGCCCTTGCTTTGCAAGGTTGCGTGTATATTCAGAGCGCCACGCATCTTGCTCGCAGGTATGGCTCGGGCTACACGGTGACACTGAAAGTGGGTGGAACCTCGTCGGAGCTCTCCCACGTGGCGTCCCTGATGGAAAACTCATTCGGCCCCGCGGATGCCCAGCTAAGGGAGCAACACCTGAACCAGATGGAGTACCAGATATCGCCGAGCGTGCCACTCGCGGTGCTATTCCAGCGGCTCGAAGCGGCCCGCGAGAGTTCGGCGCTTGACGATTACTCCGTCACGCAGACAACACTTGATCAGGTGAGTCTGATATCCTATGGATAAGTACTGTAAGGCACTGTGAAAGTGCTCACGCCACTTTTGCTGAAAATTGCGGGAATCTAGATAAGAGCACTAGTCATGTTGAAACAATGAAAACCAAGATGGCAGCCTGCAGAAAACTGAAGGCAGAGCCACAGTGGCTCTGCCTTCAACTGTAACTGTTGACCAGTAACTTGTTGTAACTGGTGACCAGTAGCTGTTGACCAGTAGTTCAATTGTAAATGATCCAGTAGCTCGTCGTCCTTGAATCCAATGAATAACTCTCTCACGTTGGTGCAAAATAGGAGGCACTCGATGCGCCTAACATATCATTTTCGGAGTTTCGAAGTTTAGGAAATGTTAACTGCAGGAGCTTGTGCAGGACAGGGCAATTCTGGGGCATTTTACGGCATGCAATATTGTGGGAGGCATTTGCATCATTTGTTTGTTAGAATGGTGCATCTGTACAATTTGTGCGTACAGCAAATGTTACTGGCAGAACGAAACTGGGATTTATAGTTTCAAGTTCCGAGCCCCTAAGCGAGAGCTAGCCTCTCTGCTCTATTTGTGCTTTGGTCCTGACTGGCTCGGCTGAAGCAGGGACACGGAGCAGAACCTCACAACCTTGTGTTTTTCTCTTGACAACAGGCATAAAAAGGCATGAGAGAAGGTCTCGGGAGGTCAGAATATCAAATAGCTTGTCTAGTAGACACGTATTCATTTTAAATATACAGTGTGTGCAAGCATGAACACAAAAACGGCGTTGGGACACCACAATGACTTCGTGGTGTCCCGGCTTCTTCCTTTAATTCGTCCTCGGGGGGTATCGCTGTGGTACTGGTAGGAGATGCACTTCTGTGTGGTGTGCGAACAGCATCCGGGAGCACGAGCAAAGCTAAGCTCTAATTTTTTAATACAGCCTTGACTTTGACCCTAGGATAACTTGAACAAAGTCTGCACACCCCTGCCAAGGTCAAATTAATGAAAATTGTCAAACTATTTGCACATAGGCGCTGTTGCAAGACAGAACACAGAGCAGACGAAGAAAGTCCTACATACTGGGGAACAATGATGATTCGTCTTCAACGGTCAAGGAGGGGTGAACATTTAAGGAATTATTCGCCGCATAATAAACATGAATAGCCGAGCCTTGTTGCTGGGAGCATTTATTTTGATCTAATGTATGTGTACCTCTCATAAAGAAAGCCCTCAGTTTAGGTTCAACACCCCATTTTACACTAGTGCCAGTATGCAACCGTTAGACTAAATGTGGTTCTCAACAAAGAATAGAAATATAGGGAATAGTTTGCCTATACATACGTGAAATATGGACCGTCAAAGAATAATCCGGTACAATATATTAAGCACTGAAAGTCAACAGCTACAAACCCTGCCTACCGCTGGCAACTGCCATTGTGTGACATTATGTGCTGCATGCAGAAGAGCCGTCGTCTTCTACTGACGTTTCAGCCACTGCAAAGCATTAGATTTCTGTGGCAACTTAAATAGCTCGGTTGCATGGATAGGAAGCAAAATTGTTCAATGTAATGCAGATGCTTGCAAAACAAGCAGCGTGTTACATCGCTGCTCACGAGTGCACCTGTGTTGACTCCCTTTCAGGCCGCTTGCGAGTTTATAAAAATATTGAAAGTATAAATCACAGGCTTGGATCTAATGGGCTAAAATTTTGCCAGATTAAGTACGCATAATGATTGACACAGATAACATAACATTGATGATGATGGAAAAATTGGCTGTCGAGGCCCTTTTTATTGAAGACGCCACAAGTTTGATGGCTGGTGCTGACTGGAGGTGACGATGTTTGGAAACGTGTTTGTTGCTGTGCCCGACAGGTGTTTATAAACTTCGCCAAGCAGCAAGGCGACGTCAAAGGCGAGCAAGGAGATGCAGAAAGTGACCTGCCGTCACCGTTGCCGTCGTCGCCAAAGGTCGCTCACCCTCCCAGAAGCCCTGTAGTTGACAAGCTCACACCCGTTGTCAGCATACGACCTGCATCTACTGGTAAGCGTAGCAGTTTTCGTTACAGCGATAGTTGTATGTTACTCCCAAGATGTCTGCTACAGGTCACTAGAGGTCACTAGAGGTCACTAGAGGTCTGCAGAATTAATAACTATGTGCCTTGCTTATGCATCACTACAAGCCTGCAAAAGCTGCTCCTGCAGAATTTGTGGCTGAATCTAAAGCAAAAATGGAATTATTTTGTGCTTGTAGCGAATGTTCATAAATTTAGAAAATTTTGGGGCAGATGAGATTAGGAACCACAGCAAACTCAGGTCTGGGTTGATTGGCGAGACATGAAAGAGGCCATTTCCTTGCAGTGGGTGCAGTCAGGATGGCGATATTGATGATGATGATGATGAATATGTTTCGGTCAGTTACACCATTGGCGAACACCAAATGAAGTGCATCTAGAACTACTGCTTAGCTTGGCCTGACTTGGTTCGTGGTGCAGTGGTGGCTATGTAGATGTGGCTTTTTGTATCTTAGCAGTTTCAACACATGTAATTTTGTTGTTGTATGGCTCCCACTGCAGATTGTAGCACAATTTTCTCGTATGGTTGGTGAATATATAATATAATGCAAAAAACTTTGGTCTGTATGCGACTTCGTTATGAAGAGGTTCGACTGAGTTGCAACGACCCATTCGTCACTTCACCCATCTCTGCATGCAGGTCCGCTGTCACGAGGCCAAGAACTCATCGAGCTTCCAGAATGGATCCGAGAGACGGACATCGTGTGAAGCCACGATGCAGCACCGAAAGGTGTTTTTCAGCTGTGATATCCTCCCATCATCGAGCGCACGCGACCGGTGGTGCTTTCCTTATCCCCCCCATTTTTGAGCACCGGGAGAAAGCCGAGCGTATGTCAATGCAAGTGTGAAGGCACAGGTGTCGTTCCATCCAACCTCGCAAGGCCGGGCAGGCGACATGTTTCTTTTAGTTTTATTCTCCTCGATTATTCCGTCGTAGGAGTGACTTCTCTGCGTGAATCTCCAGTTCCACATCCTCCTGATTGTGCCTGGTTACCAGTGAGCCTTTGTGACGGGTGAAGATTCGAGTGGCAAAGACTTTGTGGCCAGTGAAACTTACTGGAGGAAACTTGGTGTGTGCTGCCTGTCTTCAATGTGTGGCTGGAAGGATTTTGTGGTTTTTGTTGCTGGCATTAGTAGTTGTTTTAGTTGCGTGGGGCGAACAGAAATGACCTCCCCGATCTCCTCGCTGTCTTGTTGTTGTTGAGCAAAACTATGGCAGTGCAACTATTGCACGCCACTCGGGGTGAAAAAGGTGAAATGAGTGTGTTCAAGGCATGTAGCGATTGTTCAATTTGTGGAAGGATGTAGATAACGAATGGAAGAAGGGGAACCTTCCCATTTTTTTTAGGGGCTCGCGTCTTAATTAAACTCAACCAAATAAATTCAGCAGACAATTAGGCCAAGGAAAGCATTGTGGACGTTGTATTCATTAAGAGAGAAAGTGAAGTGAATTAAAGTGGACAAAAAAGAAAAAAAAACATTTGCATTGATGGGATCTGAACCCACAACCTTTGAATTGTGTGTCCGATGCTTTGCCGACTTAGTTACGACAGCAGGTGCTTCCTCGACCACCTTGTCATGCACGCTTAATCTCAGAGACCGTTAGCCAGGGCCACTCGTAGCCAAGGCGGTGAGTGTGTAACGTAGTGGGCCAGTGCATGGCGGCAGTTGGTGCTTGCCGCAACATCATGACTACAACCACCATTCCTGCTAGCCATCTGGCCGTGGCAAGGCTTGTGAAATACATATTTAAGCTATTTATTTCAAAATAATGACTGTCTACAAAATAACAGCAAAGGTTCCGATGTTGTTTTCATATTTCGTTGCATATAGCAGATTGGGGAGATCGTTTCTGCTAGCTCTGTTCAGGTTGTCATAGCCTGTCAAAATCTATTTCTGAAGAGCACTCAAGGGGCTGTACTCTCAAATAATTACTTTTTGGTGACAGTGCAGCTTTCTATGGCATAGGTTCTCGTGTGTCCAATGACTGAGGTGACTACATTCGTGCCTTTCCTCAACTATTCACTCTGCACGCACCGAAGGTGTCATTTAGTGATATGTCCAAAAGTGATCGCTTCAGAATAGCTTCCTTGATTCTATCTACGACTCCTTTGAAAGAGTCATTAGGTATGCAGTCTTTAATTCGTGAGCTGCAGTCATGGCTTGGACACCTGCCAGATTTTTATCATTTTATTGTTTCTAGATGGGTTTTAAAAATTCACTAGCTCAGATACGGTCTCAAATACTGAACTGAGCACCCACATCGACCCATGAGTGTATAGACCGTGCTTATAAAACCAAATGCCACTCATTAAAGCAGGTTGGCAGGTCTGTGCGAGTTCTTGGCGCAAGTTCGAGTCTGTGTCTGTTGGCAATGTAGGCTTTAACCTGTGCACGATGATATGGGCTGTGATCATAAGGGCATGACTCAGACTGAGTTCGACGTTGAGTGAAGGCTTTCCAGAGTTATGCAGCAGGTCTAGACGGATGTGAAAGTTTTTTGACTGTTGGTTCGTCGCACTGATGATGGTTGTGGTGCGATCTACTGTTTGAGCAAGAACCTGTCTTGCTTGCATTTTTTGCTTGTTTTGACATTGCAATGAGCTTAGTATTACTGATATGTGGGGTTCAACATACCAAAAAGAGCTTAGTATTACTACTGTGAATACAGTGCGATGTCTTTATTTTATCTGTAGAATTTAACGCGAGTGCAGAAAACCTACAAAAGTAGTGTCGGCTCCGATTTGGCTTTTAAAGAGTTCTCATAACCAGCATTACTGTCTTTGAAAGAACGTTTGTTTCATTTGTCTCTGAATACATTATATTGCTTCACTCCCATTATGAAGTGGTGGTTGCAAGTGGTTGCCTAGCACGCTACTTTTATGGCACACAATGAAGAACCATTATGGCTGGTGATAAACGAAGTGCAAGACTGCTCGACAGCAGTAAATCGGTGCATATTTATTTCTATTCAAAAGCACCTCTTGGCCGAATTGCAATTGCATACTGTTAGAGTCTCGCCTTGGGTACACAGTCAAAGCAAACAGACAGGATATCTCTCGTTTGTTGTTTGAGGCTCTTATTTTTGTCTGTTTCTCCAAAGTACAACTTTATGGGAATAGCCTCATCTTGTGTGCAAAAATGTAAGTGGTCAGTGATCCTGCGATTGCAAGTCAAAAGTGTGCAAATGCTTTTTTTAAATTACGAGAACTCTTATCGACAGGACACGTTGGATTATGCGTACAGTTTCTGATTCATATAAAATGTATGCGTGCAAATGCTGCTTTAGTATTGTAAACCACTCTAACACTCAGTATCGAGCTGCAAAAATGTAGTACCACCGCATTAAGCTTGAGTTGCAATGCACTGGCGTGTGTTCAAGTGCGATTGCTTTGCCACACACGAGTGCATTGTGTGAAATGTGCATTGTGAGCTTGGTGTGATGGTACCCCATTACATTTGTTTATTACCGCCACAGAGTTTTAGGGTGTCACTTTCGAAGAACATTAAATTTCTCACGTATGCGTCATCTATTTCAGCTTAAAGATGCAAAAATGTTTCTCTTGTCATGGACTGATGAAATGTGCGTTCTTTAAACATGTAATGCGCTTTGCAGGTAAAACTGACATTAGGATCAGTACTAATCGAATTTGGGGGTCTTCGAGGTATTGTATTGAAAAGTGATGCTGAGGTAGCTACACTGCATGTCAAAATGGCATAGATGTCTGACTATCTACATGCTCTTTTATTGTTATAGTGAGTTCACAATTTATTGTGTTTTGTAATCTTTTTTTTTCTTTTTGTTGATTTATTACAACTTTTGATTCCATTATGCAAGGTCCCTGAGCAGTTGCTCCAAGAGCACTGGCCTTACATTAGTTGGTAGCATTCCGTTTATTTGTGACGTTGTTGTGAAACCCAGTGTTTATGTAATGCGTGTATTTTTATTTTGTGGCATTGTTTTGTAGTGGAGATAATATCCTGGGAACTACAAAAAAAGAGACATTGAATTCATTTACCAAAGACATTTTTTAGCCTTTTGTTCCGCCATGATTATGCTCACATAAATTTCCATGCAAGCGTACTACTGCACCGGGCATTGTACTAACTTTACAGGTATGTAATATGTGCTATGTGCAAGTTAGAGATTGCACTATGAACCTTGCCCACATGAACACTATTGCCAGCTCAGTTGCTTGAAGAATTCACGTTTTACGGTCTCTTTGTTTTGTTATTGTGATTGAGAGCACCAGGTTTGGAAAAAACATGTATAAATCTGATTTCTTATTTCTCTTAGAAATGTTATCTCTTACTGCAATATCATGGTTCTGTGAGCATTTGATGAAACATAACACTAAATAAAAAAAACAACAACCTGAGAGTAGAAGCAGTAGCTCGATCAGATGGAAAAAAAAAAACTTGCTGTTCTCTAAAGGCATATTTAAAACACCTGGCAAATGTTCAGTTCACTTTAACTCAATTTCATTTATTTCACTTCTGTGTTAGATTGGGTTGGCAGAACAGTTAAATATCTCGTGCTGCTAAAGTCACTGTAGACTTACCATGTTTGCAAGATATGTGCAACTACAATTTTGATATGTATGTGGTACGTGATGTTAGGGATACATTATGCCATATACCACATGACCAGAAGCAATTGTTTGTTCTAAGAACAAACAGAATGGCATGTGGAGGATTTTTATGCATATACGTAAAATCTTCAACTACATTGAACTTTTTTGTTGTCTTATATCACTTACCCTTTAGTGTAGGCTGAGCTCAGTTTAACTGAACATGCTTTTGTTTACCGTATGCTCTTGTCTTTACCTGCATTATAAGAGAAAGTGGTGCTGGCCTATGTAGGTACTAAGTAACTACAAGTACTACATATTAGGTGTTATGACTACCTAATGTATGTACCAGCACCAACTACTAGTAATACCAGCAGGTACTGGTAGTTACACAGGTACTTGGCCTCATGTACCACTGGATCCTCCGCAGGAGCCAGATTTTTTTCTCAAATAGCGTAGACGTTATGTTGTCCGTTGGTGACCACTGTACAGAGTTCTTTGATGGCATAGTGGCCTGTGGTAATTGCAGCTTTTCAAAGCTTTTGTATGCGCATTATCAGTGCCAGCCAAGCTCCTGAATTTCATTTTACGATGCAGCCATACATTTATTACTGCCTTAGCACAGAGTATAGTGAGTAGGTGTGGCTAGCATGCGCGCCTCTTCTATTAAACGAGCTCTTTTGTAAAGTGCTTCTTGAGCGATGTAGGTTGTTAATTGCTGGAGAAGGCCAAAGGCTTGTTGTACAAATTATAACATAGCAGTAATGATGGTGTTAATCAGTACATTCGTAAGAAGGAAAGCCAATTAATGTATGTGGAACGAACTAGCAAGTTTCATCGCAGTGCTGTTCTGCAAGTCTCTGCAGTGGTCTTGTGGTTTGCACTAGGTGGTCTTGTTTCCATAGTGGCTGTATTGTTAGTTTTACTGTATTAAGGACTGCCTGTACGGTGTATTTGCATTGTAAAATTCTATCATTGTTTTATATATTATGCATCCTGACCACATGGATTCAGTACAAGAACGGGGCACTGTTGCAATAGTTCTTCGCTGTTGTGGGCGGCGAACCAACAAGGAGGTAGCAAAACAATTTGGAGATAGTCCATTTGGCCAAAGCAATTATACGATGTCACTATCGAAAACTCTACTCTTTCCATCTCTCTTTTTCTTAATTTTGGCAAAGAACCACATTAATTTGTGAAGAGTAGGCCTGGCCATGTTGAACTACTGAGAAAACTTTTGATAACAACATCAAGCTGTATAAGTGGAGTTAACAAAAGAAGGTAACAGCTTGTGTATCTGTAGGCATCCTCATTAAAATTATCCATAAGGTTAACGGTTGTCATATTTTTGTCAAATGGACCGTTGAGGCATTCACATGCTTTCTGCCTTGGTGAAATGCAAGTACAATTATCTTTACAGTCCTAGCTAATATTGTAGCACTTAAAAAGTGTGAGACACAGGACAAGGGAAGTGATAAAGAGGAGCACTGAACTTGTCTTGTGTCTCACAGATTTTACGCACTACGTTATTAGTTATGTATTACCAACACGCCCAACTTCATGCTCTTGTCTTATATTTACAGTATATTTGACAGCAATGTGAATGGATATACACGTGTCACCATTCACTTCTTTTGTCTTTACAATGCTTTATTCAAAAGCTGTAGCTATCACACTTTTTAAAGGTTACACGCAGCAAACTCTCATGAAAATTCTAAATATTTCCCTGGTCTGGGCATGGAACCTCGTGTATGATTTCCACAAGTATTAGCATATGCAAACAATATTTCACAGTTTCACCGACCGCCAGGAAATGTAGTCGCAGGCTGCTCGGAAGTTCAACATTTTCTGAGGTTCCACAATCTTGAAATACTTCACGCTCACCTTATTGTAAAGCGCAAGAGAGAGGTGTACTTGGTCTTACCGTGTGTCCAACAACGATAATCATTGTCTGACTTGTTTGCATTTCTGTTTTCGAAAACTCTGCGCTCGCCATTTTCCTGCTGGGAGTGCTATGTGATGCAGATAGCGCTTGCACCATTCGTGAACATGAAGTACCGGGTTCTTGGTGTAATGAAAGGAAAGATAAACGAGATAGATTAAAATTATTGACTTGTGACGAAAATATACCCCAAGCATATGCCCTTTTTATAGAATGTATTTGGTAGATCAGTAAGACCTGTTATTATTATTATTATTATTATTATTTTTGTTGACAAATCTGTATACTGAATCTGAAAAAGATATCGAGTCTAGTACATCTTAGTTGAAAGCTATTTTTGCAGTACACTCATTCATTTCAGAATTAGCCGCGTCACATATGCGTAGAGGGAACGAGTTGATCATAGTATGATAGATTTGTACTGCATTTCAAAGCATAGCTCTCTTGTTTGAGTGAAAGCCACAATGAACAAATACTACAACCATTTTCAGTTTCACTGTATAAGAGATCCCCGAGAGTTTTATTTTTTTAGAGTGCTGACAATGTGCTGTACAGTTTTGCCCCTCTTGTGTGGGCAAGAGTTGTCGTATGATTGTTTTTGTTGTTGCATTTTGTAGTGATCTCTGCGCAGGGCCCAGACGTGTGAGCATAGGTTAGATGTTATTTAAGAGACCTCGGAGCCTTAGACCTGTTGTACATATGTGCAATAGCTTTTGACAAAGTACGCATTTTGGAAATGCAACGGTTTTGTATATTTCACGTAAAATTGGCAGTTTTGCTAGGCAAGATCTGTCTGCAGCAATACAACACACACATATGACTGGTACTTGAAATTGTTAATATTTACTTTAATTGATGGTGAACAGTTGTATGCATCATTTCAAGTGGTAAATGCTCCAAGGCTTCATCGTCAAAAAAAAAAATGAATGTATGTTTTCAGAGAGGCTGAGTATACCAACTTGTGACAATTGTGCATTTTATTGTTGTTTTAGGTGTGATCATTCATCCCACATCGAAGCTTGTTGCTCCTGTTCAGTGTTAACATGTATAGCTTATTATTATTATTATTTTTGTGCTGTGATAAACATGCATTTGCTTCTGACATTCGAAGGTGCACTTTCTGTGTTTCGGCAGTCATTTCACTGCGCAGAAAGCATCGCAGCATCCTGTTGTCATAGCATTCATCTTGTAAAAGCAGGTCAACAGTGGTACACTTTTTTCTTCTTAGAATTGATTTGTGTTGCTCTTGCTACATACGCAAACTACTCGGTTCTTGCTGGTGCATTTTGTCATGAAATGTTTTACTGTGTGTGTACCACACATCTTAATCTCCAAATATGAACACACCTCGTTTATGCAGTTGTTCTGGTTATCCTGTGATTTGTTCTGTTGCAACTTGGTGGAAGTAAAAATACTGTTCTTTCTCCAGTATTCATGTCTCACTAATGATTGCACTGATTTTTATTGATTGAGCACGTCTCTATTGGTTGAGTTGCGATAGTTGAACGTGTATAGCGATGTTAGTTGTTGCTCCTAGTAATTTTTTTTATGATGCTTGTTAGGTGGTGCTGCAAGAATACAAGTTAGCTTGTCACTGCTCAGACTGGCTGTAATTTATTGCAGCGAGTTGCTCATCAAATGATAGTCTAGCCTTGCCAAACAGGACCATGACACCAATCAACCTTCGATGTCCCAAATTTTTTTTTCACGTTAGGACAACTGTATCATTTGAACCCTAATGTATCTGGACTTGTGTCGCAAGCGTCCGAAATTAACTTTCACGGCATCTCCAGCCTGCGACAGTAACTTGAACAAGCACAACTTTTGTCATAGTTGCCACATTGTCTTAATCTTTTCCACTTGTGCAGCAGTTCAAGCCAGCACGCATTATTGCATCAAATAGCAAACACGTAATCTATGTCACAGTTATATAGCAACCTGTAATCATAGTCATGGTACTCGTAGCTAACATGCCAAAACCATCATGGTCACATCATAGTACAAACCTGCAGGTGACCACAGCTGGAAACTACACAGGAATACATTGAGCGAGCAGGGTTTTATTGATCAAAATATTGTTAAGTGGTTTATACTACCCTAACCTCTCCTCTATTAATTCCATGTCAAACATACCACTTCCGCATTCAATTTTTGACTCGCATCACTATGCAGTGAGCTGCAGGTCATATATGATTCGTTGACCATCTTGCAATATGAACTACCACAAGGAACTTCAAAAGCTGTTTCTCACTATACACACCCATTCAGTTACAGAAAGAAAAGACCTCTGCAAGGCAATAATTGGGTCAAATTTGGCAGGTAAATTAAGTGCAAACATGGTTCAAATTCTTTTGGTAACCCCCCTCTCTTCAGGCACGTTTGTGCAGATGCAGCCAGTCGTGAACTATTAGTGGTATGATCCACTACCACATTTCCCAAAGGACCCATGGCTTGCACGGCCATCAAGGGGCCGGGAGGCTTCCAGCTGTTCTGCAAGCTGTGCATATGCATTATCAACTTTGTGTTCTTGCTCGTACAGTATTTTCAGCCACAAAGAGGAGGCATTACGAATATACACGAGTTTCGGATTTACATCAGCTGCAGTATGCCTACCTTTTCACTCGCTAGTCTTCACTTGCAAACCTTACACACTTCTTGCCGAGTCATTCTGAATTCCCTGCCTACCAATCGAGGTACTACTACCTATCAAAAGCAAGGCTAAGCGAAACCGCTGATGTGCTGACTGCCTCAAATGCTGTAAGTTGCAGCAAAAAAGTTCATTTTTATTTATAATGAAGCAGTGTATCCTCAGCCTAGGTGCTCTTACCACTTCCTCTCTTCAATGAGTCACTTAATTTTCCGAATGAGGTAAGTATAGGTATGTGCTAAATTTCTGGACCGATTCTAAGTTTACGAAAAAACAAATGGCATTTTATAAACTAAGAGTGTAGTAAAGGCCTATGGAATAATTTTAATAACATAGGAAATGTTAAATTCGATATGCGCACCCAATAATATCACTCGCCATTGAATGATGAGTGATGGTGTTGGGTGGACATGCGGAATTGTGTACGAAATAGGAGGAGGGAAGTGCACATATAAAATTATGCCTCCACCCCCCCCCCCCCCCCGCCCCCAGTGATAAAATCGTGGTGCCATCCCTACAAACAGCCTTGACATGCACTCTTTTTGTTAACTATTTTTTACTACTGACAAAACAACTGTGCTCTTGCGGTATAGTGGCTAGAAAGGTGATCTCAATAAATTCAGGTGTTTAATATTATGAGAGAGGTTAGCGTTATTATGAAAGTTCTACCACAGCTTTTGCTTCTACTTTGCTAGCAATATACCGATAATTATTTAACCAACAACCGCTAATGCATTTTTGCGTTTTTCAAAGTCTTGTTCGTTTCGCGGGCTGCACCATTTTTCAGACATGCTGTTCTCCTGTGCTACCATTGGTACCATGAGCACATCAAGACGACTGACACTCCCTCCTTCATTCTCGCATTCAATATTAGCTATTTTATTTGACCAGCTGAAAGAAGCGGCTTTGGCGGCATCTCCATCGCGCTCGCATCATCCATATATCTGATGAATCCAAAATGGCGTATTACGCAAGTGCGTCTTCGTTGTCGCAATGAGACCCTGCGCGTCAACAGCACTACGCCGGCTCACGCTGAAAGCTGTCGTTAATCGCAATTAGAGCTCTCGGCAACGGTGGGGAGTGAAGAAAAGTCTACGGGAGTGCTTCGAGCAGTGGACGAAGAGGAGCGCAGACCATCCGATACGTGGTAAACATACCTATTCCATCGCTTGCTGTTTACCGTCATCCCTGCGAGCTGTCTCAACGAAGCAGCGTTGCGACGCGTCGCTTCGCACTGCTCCGCGGAACACGCTACGCGTTTGGTCCCCGACTAGAAAAGAGGCCGAAACTAAGTGCGCGCCGCCCGAGTGAAAAGATGGCCACCATCGCTCAAACTACGGAGGCTCCGCAAACGACCGAGACCGAGGCTCCCAGCGGAGCCCGCGTCGTGCTCAGGCTTAGGAAGCCGGCGGCCAGAAACAGGCGCCACGTCGCCTGGACCGAGGGCACCGTCGATAACGAGCACATGAACCGGCTCAAGTCCAAGTGCTGTTGCGTTTACGTCAAGCCGCACAAGTTCGGCGAGAGCTCGAGTGACAGCGAGGAAGAAGAGTGCGAGCACTGCCGGGGCCACGTCGAGCGCAGGCAGAGGAATAAAGAGCGCGCTGGTAGTGCCGTCGTGACGGCGACCTCTGAGACGATGTCCGATGGCGCCGTCGAAGACGCACCGCCTGCCTTGAGGCGCCACGTCGTCTGGGCCGCCGACACTGTGGACAACGAGAACATGAACAAGCGCAAGTCCAAGTGCTGCTGCATCTTCGAGAAGCAGCGCCAGTTTGGCGATAGCTCGTCGGACAGCGAGGCGGACGACTGCACCCACTGCCGTGGACACAAGGAAGCCAGGTCAAAGAAGAGCGCCAACGAGGCCCCTCTGCTGCAGGGCCAGTTCATGGCACATAGTGACGCGTCCTAAGAAGTGTTCGTCGTCTTTATAAACGAAACCTAAACCCGCTTCTGCCAAGTTGCTTTCTGTAGTCGAAAGAGAATCGAGACGTGGACATTCCTCCCAAAGACACACCCGCATGACTGATGCATCCCCTCTGTGACGGCGCCTGGCGTTGAGAAAAATAAATTTAGATCGCTTGTATCAGCCAGAGTTGGGTGACATGGGCAGTCGCAGGCACAACTGGTGCAGCGCTGTGGAGTGACAGCCCTTGCGAGCTGTGCCCCTTTAAACCCAAGAACTTTTGGCGAATTGTTCTGGTGAAGTCACTTTATTAAACCGCCGGTGGTGTCAAGCGTAGAAAAGTTCGCTGAGGTGACCGTGTGCAAAAGCCTGCTTTGCGTTTATGGATGCACCTCAAGCTTGCTCACTTTGTTAAACAGTGTGCCATTTCTTAGACCAGTGCTGGGTGCTATGCATTCTACTTTCTTCAACATTTTACCATTTTGCACTGTTCTTGGGTTTTTGATGATGTTGCAGTGCGTATTGTTTGCCCCTTGTCTGTGATGATTGTGTTAGTCTGTGAGCTGTGGTGTTTAGTGGCAGACTTAATATGAATGAAGGATGAATCATGCTAGAGTCTGCCGCCCACAAACAAGATGACCAATGTGTCGAAAGACATAGTCGTGAGGCAAAAAAAAGCCTGTTTTGCCACAAACTGTCTGTACAAATGTTCAAATGTTACCAATAAAGGAATAACCAAAAAAATGCTGTGTCCTCGAAACTTTTAATTTCAAATTTGTGGACAGCAAGAGGTAGTCCTCTTTGCACCGTGCTTGATTGGGGAGTCCATTGAGCACAGTCAAGGCTATTCCATCTCGATAGATCAGCAGTACTTGGTGCGTGCAGGTTGTATTGAATACAGTATCTCTAAGAAAGCATTGAACGCAGCATTTGTGAGAAAATTGAATAGCTGCATTATTGGGTGCCATTTATGTTAACTACAATGTAACAGTAAATATAGTGAATATAGCACACAATCAGCTTAATAAACTACTCATTTGTAGAATAATTACACTTTCATAAATTTACTTGTGTGCAAGAGTTTATCATAGCTCAAGTGGAAAAGCAAGCAGGTTTTTCAGTTGTGACTGCACAGGCAAGAAACTGCGTGGGCTGATAGCCGTCCTTGTTTCTGTCGATTTTCAGAACAATGGAAGAAGAACGACTTGAAACGGAAAACCGGCGTTTGGCTGACCAACTGTCCAGTCAGGTGTCTCATCTCAAGAGTGTAAGATTATTCAGACTCACTGACCTCTCGCATTTTTTATCTCCTATATGCTGTCCTTTTTACAAAACATTGGGGCAAGTTGAGGGAAAATTTATACCTGAATTACCGAGACACTTTTATCAATCAATACATTGTACATATTTTCACGTGCAGAAGTGTGGTCAAAACCAGTTATTTGTCATAGTACATACAATTTGAAAGAAGAAAATGCGCTCATTCACTTCATAGTTGATTGATATGCGAGGCTTAACGTCGCAAAACCACCATATGATTATGTGAGATGCCTTTCACTTGACAGTTGCCTATAATTTTACTTGAATGTGTTCTGTGCAAAGGGATGTCAAAGTATCGGACTTTGTCATGTGCAGTTGCAAGTCAAGCTAGCGAGAAATCTTCTTAGCTTAAAGTAGAGAGTTTCTGTAATGTACCAAAAAGTGTGATGCCTCTTTTCACCTTCTTTTGCTGACTAAGAGGAAAATATTGCACACCTAGGTGCTACAGAACTATGAGAAGTATGCGAAAAAGCTAAACATATAGGTAAAGTGCGCCACAAGTGTAGCATGCACTTGTGAGCGTAGTTGCCTCCTCCTTTGTTGTTGAGAAACGAAAGCGCGGTTGTCTGTGCTGGTGCTTGTACAATTTTCATCATGTGAAGTTACCTCATTAATGTTTAATGTTACCTCAGAACGTAGGGTTAAGAGACGTATGGGGGAAAGGAAGAGCACCCTCTCTACTACCATCCAAACATGCTTGCTTTGCCTCCAGAATATGGGATAATTTGCATAATTATAAAAATAAAATAACAGATGCAATAAATGCAGAGCCCTCTTTGAATTGTTTAACTTTGTCTTGGACGTTATGATTGTTTCATGAAGCTGTTGTCCATATAAGTACATTTTCGTGCACTTGCATGAGAAAGAGGACAATAAGAATTTGTCATCCTCGAAGTTAGGCTCCATGGGAGCTTTGTGTTCTACGTTGGGAAAAGATTTAGATTCCTTCCAAGTGGCAATGGGAATCAAATCCAGTACTCTAGCATAGGAGGCAGGCACAATATTGCTTCAAGGAGCATTGACATCGTCAAGTAAGAATTTGCACTTTTCAGCGAAAATGTGGAGCGAATGGTCTATTGAGCCTATACATGTATGAAAAATAGACCGTAAAATAATATTTTGGTTATAATCACAGCCTAAAGCCCCACCAACCGTCCGCATTCTGTCGTGGCGCGTGTGACATCATGTGCTCCATAAAGTGGTTCCGTCATCTTCTGTCAAAGCTTAAGCCTTTGCAAATAGTTTAATTTCGATGCTAAGTTGAACAAATTTGAGATAGCTCAATTTCATGCCCAGTTGAGCGTGGAACAAAAGCATTGCAAGCAGCTTGTTGTGGCTTGCGAGTGCAGCAGTGTTGTCCTACCCTCAGGTTGCTCACTTGTCTATGAGAATGTGCAATGATAAGTAAAGTGCGCAGCCGAATGTGCGAAAATTTCACCAGCTCGTTTGTGGACACACAATGATTAACCTGCATAGTACAGATTTTGACAGAAAAGTGGGAATCATGGTGCCTTTGACCACTATTATGGTAAACTGCACAGGAAAACATTACAGGATACTTAACTGAAAGAGAGACAAGAAAATAAAACTGGAAAGGTAAATTGAGTGTGCGCCTGATTTTCTTCAAGGGTGTGGAGTTGAAGGAAAAGTAACCCAAAAATGAAAAGAGACATGAGAATGAGGGCAGTAGTACACTGGCGATGGCAGCTGATTGGGTGTGGTGGCTGTTACGTCATGTGAACAAAAATGCAGTGACATCTTCCAACTTCAGAAACAGCAGTGGTACTTTCCTGGCTGGAGTACGCTCGTCCTCTTGAGGAACAGGTGTAGGTACTTTCAGATTGAAATGGGAAAATATAGGGCTGAGTACTGCGCATATTTTCATTTGGTGCCTATGGTTGGTATCTTATTGGCATAGTAATTTTGAGTTGAACACTTACATTACCTTCAGCGCCCATATTTGTAACATTATTATTCATTTATCGCGAGCAATCGCTCATAGCAGTTGACGTGATAATAATAATAATAATAATAATAATAATAATAATAATAATAATAATAATAATAATAATAATAATAATAATAATAATAATAATAATAATAATAATGTCATGTTTCAATCTGTGAATACTGCACGCTTCACTTTGAAGCTGCTATCACCATAATGATGATGATGTGGTCCAAAGGAAAGAAAAACAAGGACATACTAAAGTGATAGATTCATTCGTAACATTCTTGGCAATTGTGAGGAATCTCCTCTACAGAAACGACAACAATATTGGTCAACAAAATTAGCTTCCCTTGAGCCTTGTACTTATATATTTCTGAGAAGACAGTTACTGCTGAGATATGCCTTACTGTTGTTTACGTACTGAGTGCAATAAAAGCAGAGGTATTATCTTTGTGATGAAATCATTAGAGCTGCGTCATGTGCTGTGTTTATTGTATTGCTTTCAACTATGCCACTGTTCCTCCCTAGCTGGCCTATGACATCGAACTGGAGACGAAAGAACACAACCGCCTGCTTGGAGGACTGGTGAGTCACATTTCGAGGCTTTCGTGCATTGCTACCACTCTTTTAATGAAGGCAGTCAAAGTTTTATTTCTGAAATATGCTATCTTTGCGACTCAAACACCACATCAAGGTGAAATGCGAGTAAAAAAATGCAAGTTTTTTTTCAAAACTATGTATCTTTCGTTTTTATTTGCTTTCACACGTTTGATTTCGCTACTTTCATGGCAGAAAAAACCTGAAAATAGTGATTAAACTTGAAGTAGGTTAAAATCACTGTTAAAGAGCACAAGGTGGCTACCAAAAATTAAAACAGCTCATTATCTGCAGTCCGCTGGAAATTGTCATATGGCTGCTTGCCATTGCATTTCGGATGAGGAGCTCACTGAAGCCACATGCTCAAAATAGCAATGATTGCCAAGCTCTCATGATAGAACAAATTATTTTATAAACCATATCTTTGCCACATAGATGAGCTTAAGCTTATCCCTTTAAAATGTGCTTTTCTCAAGATCCATTTTCGGGAAACTTCTTGAGATAAGATATCTTGTTTTTGGTACTTCTGATAGCCAGATCAGAATAAAATTTTGCCCAGATATTACTTTACATGTGATGGGTGTAAGTATCTCCTTTAAAACTTGATATCACCTTTATAATTATTACGAAACTAAAGCAAGAATTAGTATGGGCTGAGAATTTTAAGAATTCTCACATTATAATTTTTAGTCCATTAAAATGTCTTTATGCACTTTCTTGATAGTAATTTGTATTCTACAGGTAATGAGTAGCAATATGAATCATTGCTGGCTCAAAAATATGAAAGTTTAATGGCATAAGAAGTGTACAATACGAACTATATTTTACGCATGACACAAAATGATGCAACTTACTACAAAACTAATTGCAGATCTGAAATCAGTATAAAAGCCCATTTATACAGCAAAAAATGTCATTGCACTAGCCAACAGACTCACGAAACTTCTCTCTCGGATCCTATCTCCCCTTAATCTTTCTCTTGTTTTTTGACCATGAAGTTTTTACAGCAAAGCTTTTATCAGATCACTACAGCAACTGATTTTGGTGGCTTGGTTGTCCTTCACTGCTGGTGTCTGTAACAGCTATCGCTAAAATGAAAAAAGGAAAAACACCTAGATTCAAGGGCAACCTAAAGCTCTGCATGGCAGCTGGGTATGCTACCACAGAGCAACATTGGTGTGTTAAACTTCTTTGCAAAAATATTCTCTACAGGCATCATTTAGGCCAGAGGTTCTCAGCCATGGATATGTCGAGATCTCTTGTGGACTGGTTGAAGTGATGGGGACCCCTTGGAGGGAGAGAGTGGGGGTGCGTAGGTAAATTAACACAACTGGAGCATGAAACAGGTGCCTTTTGTTGCTACCAATGACATCAAACAAATGTTCCCCTTCATTTTGGGCAGTTCATCAATACGTGGCACAGTCGCTCTTAAACAGAGTTGCATATGTACCTAAAACAACAAAAAATGTAAAAAAAAGCAGGTGAGAACGTCGTGGATCTTAAAAATAGATTCGCGTACCCCCATTTGAGAACCACTGAATCATGCTTACAGAAGTAAAAGTCTGGCAAAAATGTAAAATAACATCAAGCATCACACATTGCAAATCGTGTAACAAGGTTGTGGTTTAAAGCATCCCATCTTTTACAAATAGCTGAGCCGTAATTATCGTAAAAACCAGAAAATAGGTCGAATTAAAAAAAAAACACTATGAGAAGTCTACCCTCATTTTATATACTGGTAATTGGCAGAAAAAAAAAATGTGGAAGTCTGCCAAAAATGGGCAGCTGAAGTTGAGAGCCTTCATTGTCATCGTGAGCATCAGCAGCGGTGCCGTTGGGCAAGCATAGAGTTAATACACTGAATATATTAACTCTATGCTGGCAAGGCCTGCAGTGTTCTAGCAATGCCATTTCGCCTAAGTCTATCTGCTGTCAGCCTGCTGTTTTCTTTTTCCTTCAGAAATGAGTGGTAGCCGAAGGCAGTTTACGATAGGTTTTTAGAAAAAAAGTTGTCGAGTGTGCCGAAGCACACGGCGACCTGGTGGCACAACGGGAATTCGGTGCATTGAAACAGGGAACAGGAGGGAAAAAAAGGCAGAGATGTTAACCAGTATAGAACGACTGGTATGCTAACCTGCACTGGTAACAGTGATGAGGGAGTTACGCATTGGATGGAACGAAGAACGATGCACTCTGGGATGTTACTAGTGAAAAACAGACGTTCTCGAAGTCAAGTTTGGACGAGTCTGAGTGACAGCACTTTGTGGCCTTCTGGCGTTTAACTACATAAAGTTAGTGTCCAAATAAAAAGAAATGCCACTACAGTGTAGCTGGTTGTGTCACGTATTTACCAAGATAAGGGTGCCCCGTGATACCTTGCGATATTTAAAAACTTTTTCGGAGATTCAAACTTTGAAGGGTTAACCTATATTCCAGTTTTTGCAATATTCCTTATGAGCCTCAGCATTAACAAGGTGCACGTGATGCCGTACAGACACGTAGTGGATGCCTCACTTCTACATAGAATGATGAATAATGGCATAAAGGGTAGTTCCCTGCTTCGCAGAAGTTCGATGATTTATTGCGAGGTGCGTGGTGGGGCTTGCAACTGTATCTGCAGTAGCCTCTGTGGGGACCTTACAATGGGCTAAAAAGGGTGCTCTGCCAGCTTTTGCTGTGACTATGCTGCATGTCCCTTGCAGGCTTGGGTTCTCTCATCTCCCACCAATTGTACAGATTGGTCTGCCACACACATGTAAAACCTCTAACATGTGTAACTGGACTGTGTAAGCCCTTCAGGCTTAATAGGTGCTATTATATACACAAAGAAAACACTGCAGATAACTTAAGAAAAATAGGAGTGCTTCATGTGAGACGCACCCCAAGATATTTCGAAACATACCTATATTCGCTCCATACTTGCCAAGTCACCTCATTTGCCTGGGAGACTCCCGATTTCTGACCTGTCTTTACAATTGTACGATACATATATAAAGTTCCTGATCAAATGCCTCAACCCAATTTTGAAAAGAAATTCTACAGTGAAACAAAAGTCGGTAAATAAAACAACTCCAGCTTACTTATATTACACACCAATAAAAAGGAAATATCTACGCAGCTTGAACAGTTTTCTGGCCGCTGCTTTTCTTGCTGTTAGCCGAGCTTTCCTTCTTTCTACAAAAACACCGGGTACCTCCCAATCACCGACACTGGTGGGCATGTCCTTTGTTTTGTAGCCCAGTTTGGAGAAGGCACAGTAACAGTGTAGAGGCTGGAACACTTCTATAGAAACACTGTTTCAATCAGGCCGCAGGCCTGCTTTGAATGTTCTAAGGCTATGAGCACTATGGCTGGATGCTGGACCATTTTGTTGACCAATCACAGGCCTGTGATTGAAGCCTGTGATTGGTCAACAAAATCGTCCAGCATCCAGCATAGCTCCCAAATTTTTTTTATATGTTGAATAAAAAGATTTTTTACAGTATGGCTCTCATTTCCCCAAGTGATGATGTACTTTCTTTCATTGGAGTAAGTGAAAATATTTGGCATAAGCCTCTATGAATTGGAGTCGTCCTAGAGATGCATAGTGTTACATGATTATTAGTGTGATAAAAGATGATATACACATACATAAATTTATGTGTATCATCTTAGTAGCATTTCATACATGAACCTTTTCTTCTCTTTCCTTCTGACATGTACCTTGGGTTGAATCTTGGCTATTTTTTATTTTGTAAATGTTGAGCCTAAGTTCAGTCAAAATTTTTTGACAGTCTCACAAAATGATGCTAGGCTATTAATAGGTATTGGAAATGATACCTTACTAATCTAAAGCTAATTTAGGATCACTTGCTATTATTGCACATGGGGATCAGCAACACGGTTCTTCCCCAGGGCTGGGACTTTGACGGATCTCGAGGCATTCTCTCTGGCAGCATGGGCCGCGTCAACAAGATGCTCAAGTCGAACAAGTCCAACCGCCGGCTCATGTGCTACGTGATTCTTGGTGTGGTGGTGCTGGTTCTGCTTGGCTACACGTTAGCCAGTAGGGCTACTCGTCAGTGATGTCGCCCGAGCAATGTAAAAAAAAAGCACTCGTGAAGGACTTCCTCTTTGTTTTGACACCTTGACAGATTTGAGGTTTACTGACAACAACAGAATGCCTATTTTTGGAGTCAGTTAGCTGCAGCATTGCAGCTGTTGTGTTACCCTTCAAAATGTTACCCTTGAAAACGTTACCCACGAAGGAAGATAAGAGAGGAGCGCCGGCATTTGTCTGGGATGAACTGTGCAATGCGGATGTGGACATCTAATTCATTATTCTGCCCTTCCCCCTCTGCTCCTACTCTTGCATTTGCACATTCTTTCTACCTCCCTTGTGCACTATGCCAACTACACACAATGCATTGCACCATCGGTCGAGGTTCACAGAAATTATTCAGCAACCCGCTCTCAACAGCACATGAGCTGACTGGCAGCAGCAATGATGGCAGTTTGCTCGTTGCAAACGACAAATAGGTAAGCAAGCAGACGTGGCAATGCGTAAACCTGGGCCGTATGTATAGCAACCACATAAAAACCTCTCGTTTGTGGCTTTGCTTGAGAAAGACGACTCTCCTCCACTGCTTTTCTTCATACGTAGTGTCATTTGGCAAACACACTTTGAAGCAAGATCTGGCATTGCAGAAAGTAGTGTCCCTTCCAGATGAGTGGAGTTGGCACTCCTGTCTAATCTTGCTCCATGGCCTTACCTGTGCAGCTGTTGTACTGCTTTATAGCTGTTATGCTTTTGTAGAGATAAGGGAGAAAAACAATGCATTCAACATAAAAACACCTTCAATATGCCCAAAATTTATTATATGCATATTCCTTATAAACATATATATGTTGCACGGTAAACTTTGTTATATAGGATCATTTATTATATATCTGTTTGAGTGACATTTTACTATACTACCACATTTTTGAACTCATACACTGGGCCATTTTCTTTTTTCAAATTATTACTTTGTTGTAACAAGTTGAGATATCCAATACCACCTTGTTTAATTTTCAGCGCGAGTAGCTTAGTCGTACCATAACGTTTCAGTTCTGATGAGATTTCTCACGAACAGGCACGAATAGACTATGACACTGGCGTGTGCGCTCAACTGCTTGTGTAATTTTTTACTTACCTAACATTGAACATGCATTTAAATTGACATCAAACAGCTCAAGGTATTGGTTGCTTATTCTACCATTTATTCATTTTTTGGCTACTTTATCTGTTGTGGGGACCAAGGTGGCTAGTTTTGATTACATTCAGGGGTTTCCATGGGAACATTTGGAATTTGTGACTTGGAACGTTGACTGTAGCTCTATCCCTATTTTTGTCAGCCCACTTCAGGCATACTGCATATTTCGTGCCCGGTGATTCTATAGCAAACTGTAACCTGCTCGTCTAGGAACTAACATAGGGAGGTAAACTCATACAAAGCATCTTGCATTAATACAAACTTGCCCTCCTCCTCAAGACATGGCAGCCTCAACATAACAGTCTTGCTTATTCTCAGATTTTTGGCGGCATACCAATTCCTCACATTGTTTTATTTCAGGACAGTAGCCTGTTTATTGCTATTGCAGAAATGTGCCCGAGTTTATTTTGTCCGCACTTCACTTAGAGGATACCATATTTCGTCCTGCACATTTTTCAAAAGTTCGTAGATATGAATTCAAGGCCACCAGCTTGGTCAAAGATGGGAAGCATAATGCCTGGTATGTGTCAAGTAATGAAGACAGGTAGCTGACATTGAAGGTAAGGGTGGCAAGAAGTAAAGTTGGGCTGTTTGCACAATGTGTGATATGTGCAACAATGGGGCTGTCTAATATGACATTCGTACGTGTTGTTTTCCTTATATGAGTGACAAACATGGTGATGAATAAAAAGTAATGGTATTAGTTAAAACATGGGCTTTCTTATGTGCTTTTATGTCACTGCATTTGCATGGTGCAAGTCTTCTTGAACAGCTGAACCTAATTGACGCTGCTTGTAAGGAGTGCTTGTGATTGCAAATTTTGACGCGCTCTCAAGACTGTCCATCTTCTGTCTGAGCATGAGAACTGTGAGAGGATTAAGAACTTTTCAAAGCTGGGTTTGACCTTGTGATAACTGTAAATGTAAAATTTTCTGATGGGATACATGATGGAAATATCGGGGTGCACCTTACAAGTGTGGCTTCTAGGCAGTACAGACCTTCCTTGATTAGTTCGTTTCACCACGTAACTGGTCGTACTGCAGTGAAGCTTCAGCTGACTGGCCAGAGACAGGAAATACAGCAGCACTTGTACTGTGTGTTTCCTGTCCGTGGCTGTGTTTTTCGTGCTGTTAACCTAAAGTACTCTGTGCAACTATCTTTGCAGGTTGGCTTCATGTGGTGCATGCGGTATGGGGTTGTTTCCAAGGCTGCGGTTGGATATTTTCTAAATTTTAATTTGTGCCGAAGGGAACTCGATGTCAGTGATGTCCTTTCAGGTATTCGAAGCGCTAGCATAGTCGCTACGAGGTGCAACATCAGAAAAAAGTTCGGCCTTATTGGGAGTGAAAAAGCGCTAAACTTTTTCGGCTGCTTTTTGGCACTGTTGCTGTGAAAATAACAAATCAGCTAAACTGTTAGCTCGGAAAGAACGCATGCAGGTTGATCTCTGCAAGGTGTGATGTCAGACAACAGTTGAGCCTTATCAGGGGTGATAAGGGCCCAAATTTTTTTGCCCACTTTAGGGCACTATTGCAGTAAATCCACTGCATCAAGGAAAATTGTAGCTCGGGAAAAACGCAAAAGCAAATAGCCATACCCAGAATTTTTTTTTTTTTGGGGGGGGGGGGAGGGAGTGGTTCACTTATATTTTATGTATGTTTGTACATGCATTTTTATACATGTATGTGAATATGCGTAAGCAAAGTTGAAAAATATTACGGAAAGAAAAACCTCTCAACCCAACCAACCTCTTGGAAACGCCAGTGCCTGCGAGCCTCTGTCATTACGTGTACGAGTCTTTGCAGACTGTCTCGCCAAGTAATCAGAGCCACCCAAAGACTGGTGGGGGCAAGGTTTGTCTGGCCATGCATTATTCGGGACGTTGAACACTCGGCTCGTGAATGTGTGCCAGCACTTTAAGATACATCGCACCTTTACAGCACTGAGAACACTCCCCAACGCCGTATTCTCACTTTGGTCATGTTCACTTGAACATCGTCGGCCCGCTGTCACCTTGTCACGGACGGACTCCCAGCTGACCTGCATGGACAGGTCCACTCATTAGGTGGAGGTTATTCCTATCACGAACACCACCGCCAAAATGGTTGCAAATGCTTTCCTGTATGACTGGATAACCAGCTTCGGGGGGGGCCTTCCATGTAGAAGTTGCCTAGTTTAGATTCTTCGAGCCAATTTCGCTACTTTTCTTTAAGCCGGTAGTGACAGTGGCCCTTTTCTGGGTAATTTCTTGTCTCCTCGATATGAGAAAAATTATCGATATCTAGTGATGTAGCAGCCGCTGATATTCGAGTATATAGTGCTAAAACATGGCGGTCCGAGCGTCTTTCAAGCTCCGAAAATTTAGTTCGGACTTTCATTGGGCAGCTAATGATGTTTAATTAAAAGGAAGGTGCAGTGGCATAGGTAGGTGTGAGGGTCAATGGCTGATCATGCGATAAATATAAAAGGACAAAAGGTTTAAAACCTGCCAATCAATCGGGCCTCGCAAACATGCAAAAAAAAAAAAGTTTTTGGACACTTGGAGAGACTCGCCAAGAACTGTTGTACGGGGTTTCAGTTGAAAGTACAGCACATATCCTTTCTTAATACCGTCCCTCATATTCATTCTAGGGCTGATCACTTTTTACTTTATTATGGACCTCATTTTGCAGATGACCTATGGCTGAACGTAGTTTTAAAGACGCGCTGACACAAAAATATCGCACCATTTTTTTGTGTGTATGTGGCAATCATGGCCTATGAGTTATGACCCACTTATCATGGCTGGAAACCTCAAATGAATGTGCGGTTCGTTGGAAAGGAAGAAGGCACTGTTTTCTACAGTCCTCAGTGGCTCAGTGCTTTGTAGGGAATGGGTGATGGGGGAAGAAAAGAATAGTAGAAAGATAAGGAAAAGGGAGCACTTTCCACACAGGAGCGATAGAAAGAAGAGAAAGGAGATAAGAGAGATGGGGGACACCGTCGATGGAGCCCGAGGATAGGACACTGATCGGCAAGAGCTATATAGCACCAGGAGATCGCAGATTGCGAGAGCTACTCTAGTGTCGGAGATCGCGGGCGACACAATCGTTCAGCTTGAATACCACTGAACAATTCTGCACACCTAGTTTGGACGAGTGCGAATTGGTCACTTATTTAGAGATGTTTTTGCAGTGCCCAGTTGCAATTTCGGTTTCAAAAAGCACCGAGCTAGGCAGAAGCAGTTCTGTAGCAAAGTAAACGTAGCTGGACAGTGCGCCACATGCACGAAAGCTTGCACTAAGAGCAAGCACGGCCAGCACATGAGAAGCCGCAGGCACAGAGGGAGAAATCGCAAGTAGTACAAGGTGCGTACCAGCAGCCAGTCAACACAAACTCTTGACGTAGGTCTGTTTACATTGCCATCGCATTTAGAGCAAGATGCAGAGGCCCTCACAACGTCGATGTTGTGCGACACGCATGTTAAAATTGATTTTCAGTATGTTACGAGCTATATTTGCCTTTGATATTTCGTAGGTATTGTGTCTGTCTCAACATAAATCAATCTCTCTCATTATCTGAGCTTTAAAATTTTGTGTCAGTGCTCGTTAATGAGTTATTTAGTGCTTATAAGCTCCTCTTGCTCAAGGAGCGTTCATTTATGCTCTGGCTAAGCGCACCATTACATTAAACCTTGATATGCACTAGTATAGACTCTATAAAGGCTTGAAATTTATGCGATTTTATGCCAAGGTGTCGAAGACATGACTTAAGGCAAGTGGAAGTGTTAAAATAAAAAAAAAAACTGTATTTTACAGCAAATATTTGCACTTTGTCTAATCTACTTATTGTGCATTCAGAAAGTCTTCATTTTCTTTCCTAGGCTGAATTCAACAGCCCACTCAAATAATATGCAATAACTATCTGCTGGCAGCGAGCGTTTCCAAGAAAGGTAAGAGAAACTTTTTTCAGAATTTCTAAACTTTCCAAAAAAGGTAAAATGTTCCTGCTGAAATGCAACACGTCAAACGTCTTGTTAAACACTTTACTGTCTTCGCCAAAGCATTCGTATGTCACAGAATATTTGAAGCATAAGTAATATAAAGGAACTCACAGTAACAAGAGTGTTGATTGCATCATCAGCTCAAAGTTTCTGGTCTTTTCCTGTCAGTAGTGCACAGAACTAGTGCTCGAAAATCTCCAAATAAGAATACTGTGTTGCAAAACATCTTGTATATTCTGTACACCTTGAGTATGTTGTGTGTTGTAAAACAGGCGTGTCACACCTTGCCGTGATTGACAGGTGGCTGGCTTTTTCTTGCAGCTCTGCATCTGGTGCATGCAATGCATGATCCCACAGGTTCTTGTATTTCGTCCAGCCCTCTCTCCACCGAAGGCAAAGTGCCCGGTAGACAATCTCTCACCAGACAGTGCTTCTTTTTCCTGCCTTTTCTTCCTTCAGCCTGCTCGAAGCAACTGCATTCTCCCAATGAACCTTCCCTCTGTGATTTGCAGTGATTTGTGAGTAATGAGAGTAGAGATGTAAGGGAAGAAGACAAACAACCACACTCTTAACTCAGCTAATTGGTGAATAATACACACACACATACATACACCAAGGCTAACCCAAGTGCTTCATAAAAATAGCTCAACAATTAGAAGACAAAGAAGGAATAAACAACGCCTGTCCCGTTGTTTCTTTGCTGTCATGTTCTCGCACTGTATTCAAGTTGAATACCAACCAACCTGTTTAAATCTCCATTCTCCTTGACTCAAGAGTGCATACTTAATATATTATGCAAACTCAGCATGACTAAAAGAAAAGTTCACAGAACGTGAGTTCACGAAAGTGCAAAACAATCAGCTGGCACCCCCCCCCCCCTACCCCCAAAAAAAGTGAATTCTTTGCGGGTTAATTTTTTCAGCGGCTCGCTTTACCTGCGCATCTCTCAGTGAGAAAGGCTTCGATTATTTCTTATGTCTGCCTATTTCTATGACAAATCAGATTAGTGTTGTGAAAGACCGCTTGAAAATAAGCTGAGTTCTTTACTGAATGTGTTGTTGGGCTAATTGGTTCATGCTGAAGAAAGGTTAAGGACTCACCTTTCTTTTTTTTTCACTCTTTTTTTGTTCATGTAGGTAGCGTTCTTAACCTCTCTTAAGGTGAGTTGGGTTGGCGCTTCTTGGTCTTTACCTCAAGTCTTCGTATGCTGTGTGCGTTCTAAAAAGCTTTTTATAATAAATGCTCACTAATTGATTCTTCCAGTTTCCTATCTTCTACAATAGTCCTCAAGAATACGAATGCGACAGGATTGTGCATTGCTTAGCCCCAGTTTTCCAGTACTCAGCTGGTGCCATATTGGTGAGCTTTGGATGGAAGCATTTGCATGAGTCAACACTACTTTTACAGTGACTGCATTTTCGATGGAGGCAAAAATGCTGTAGGCCTGCGTGCTCAGATTTGGGTGCATGTTAAAGAATTTGAGGTTGTCTAAATTTATGGAGCCCTCCCCTACGGCATCTCTCATAATCATATGGTGGTTTTTGGATGTTAAACACCATTAATTATTATCAGTCAACACTACTAGGCTTGTTCGAACAGTACATTCGAAGTTCATAGCCAACTTGAAGCAAATTGTGGCTTAGTCATATAATTTCAAATTGAATTCTTATAGTATATATTATAGCATATATAGAATATTATAAAAAATAGTGACCATATTTGTCATGACC